CGAATGCTAGAAGGCAGCATCCAGTGTGATCTCTAATCAGGCCACCTGTTGCAACGTGACCCGAATTTTGTTGACGGTGATGGAGGTCCATAGTGGAGCTCTTGACGGCTAGGGTTTTTTGTTAGAGATAGGTGAGAGGGGAGGAGGAGGGCGACGCAGGAAATTGAGGGGAAGGTCTGAATTTTGTTGTTATTAATAAAATGTATTTATATGGGTAAATGCCACATTTGGTCACCGAGATTACTAAATTGTGTCATGTTTAGTCACTATAAAAATTTAATTTCAATTTTGGTCACTCGAATTACTGAAACAAGTCACATTTGGTCACTCTCTCGTTAGCCTCCGTCCAAATCCAGTCACTGGAATTACTGAAACATGTCACATTTAGTCACTTGAATTACAGAAAACGGTCACATTTAGTCACTCTCCCATTAGTTTCCGTCCAACTCCATTAATGAATTTGGACGGAAACTAACGGGAGAGTGACTAAATGTGACCTGTTTCAGTAATTCGAGTGACCAAAATTGATATTAATTTTTTTTAGTGACTAAACATGAAACGATTTAGTAAACTCAGTGACCAAATGTGGCATTTACCCTATATTTATATGGAAAATGGAAATGATCTCATGTTGTAAGTTTTTCATTCCGAAATTGCCCTTGGTTTAATCTTAACTATTGATTTAAAAAAAGAAGAAAGAGACCGAAGAGAGAACATATCCGATTACTACAAAGTTGGTTGTATATCTCACAACCCCCTAAGGGGATCACCCTAAGGGAGTTGTGATCGTATCTCATTCCCAATTTTTGCCACTCTAACCCCACACTTTGAATTGCATGTATCATGTATATACTCTATCCTATCACAGTCCCTGCCACACTATTTTCACGCTTTTCCCAGATTGCCAAGAAACAAAGGAGAAGAATAAAGAGCGGCCACAAATCTTAGTCTCAGATTTCTATTGCCTGACTCTTTATGGCTCTGCCAAGGCCACCCAGAAATATCCCGTCTTTTACAAGCACCACTCCTTGACGACACACCTTCATTCCCACCTGAACTTCTCCATTCCCTTGAAATAGTAGCAAGTCATGATGCAACCTTAGCAGGAACTTCTTTTGATTGACATGAATGATGGGAGCTGAGAGGTGAAGAAGAGGCAACTTTTCCCTGAAATTCATTATTGTCTCGTATCTCTCTGAACTGGTTCGAGAAAAATGACAGACAAAAGCCAAGCAAGTTTCAAAACACTTGAATCCTCAAATTCAGGAATTCAACATGCAGCTGAAACAGAAGAGCTCACATGGCAAAACGAATGGGATTTGACAAAATAAGATCTGAAGCAATATATGACTCTAGGAAATTTTAACTTTAGAAACAGACAAAGAACAACCACAAAGGCCTAACAACATTTGGTTTGCAACAGATGGTAGGAAAGAACATGCAGGGGCAAGGGCAAATCAATCATGAGAACTAAAGGAGCATAAGATCCTAACCAAAACAGTCAATTATAGGCAGAAATTCAGGAAAAGCAGTAAGCTAGTCAACCTCTCAGTCTAAAACATTACATTAGTTTCTATCTTATATTACTGAGTTCCAGAGTCCTCTGTGCTGTCACAGAACACGAACCAGAAAACTGCTCCAGGGACAAGACAATTGTTCATTTACTTTAAGCAGTTCAATCTAACCAGAATCCACCACATGACTATTTTTTGTAAAGACTGATCTCAACTACAAGTCACTCTTTTCATGAACACAAAAAAAAAAAAAAAAACCATGAGAAGCAAAAATATACTTATCGAATGAGTCACTAGGTGGTTGATTGATAGTTCAAAGCTCACCAGCTAACATTCAGAATTAAGTTTTTCGAATAAGAGAGGTGTTAGGAGATATGAGAATGTTCTATTAATCCCGTTAACCAGAGTTTCTTCATTCTGCAACTTTAGATTAACCGTAAGCTCGTATCATTCTAATCACCATATTGGGAGACAATATTGTCATACACAAACACTAAGGTTATGCCTTTAATGTCAAAAGAAAAAGTGGCTAGGAAGTCGAATCATTGTGCGATTGATGGCACAACAACAAGAGTTCCATTGGAACGTTCAAAGATCGAGTGTATTACCTTGTTTGAGAAGACAACGCGGTAGTATATGTATCTGTGAGCAGGATAGACCCAAGAACTGCAGATGAAATGGGTGCGGCCATGGCCAGGGACTGAGGGACATCATCCGAAGTTAACGTCTTGAGGTAGAATTGACTATGGTGATGGCTTCATCAAGAAGGCTGTTTTCTCAATCCTGCCCCTCCATCCACTCTTTGAAGAAAATTTCCACAACACCACTCTTAGCTTTTTTTTACTTGATAAGCAAACTCGAATGACTCGACGAAAGAACATTCTATTGGGACGGGAAAGAAGGGAGAAGAAGAAACCAATTCATTGCCTTTTTCTTTTCATTTAAAGAAACTTCCACCAATGGACAATGGGGCATTTTACTGATTGCAAGGGAGAGAAAGGGCTCACCTGGGGCTGGATGAACAGAGCTCATGAGGTGGCTGGAGACTCCTTTGCTGAGAAGCTTGTGGATTCGATCGAGGAACGAAGCTTTGATGCAGTGCAACTCCAGAAAATTCTTCTTCATCAACACAAGCGTCCCCATGATCATACTGTTGCTGCTACTCCAGCTGCCATTCCCGGTGATGGTGATATCTCTGGGCTGCAGACAGCAACTTTCCACGACTTCCTGTAACATTTACCCCTGCTCGATCGGAGCTGTCGGTTTGGAAGGGAGGAAGGAAAACAGAGGGAAGGAAGGAAGATTCGAAGAGTGAGTGTGGAAGTGGGACTTGTGGGAAGGGTACAAAAGAGAATGAAGTGGAGGTTTTTGTTATGTATTTTACAGAGGGCAAACCAGCTGGATTATTGTTACCTGTTTATGTCAAGAAATAGAATGTTCCAATTAAAAATTAAATCAGAGTGAACTTTGTGCTGATTAGTTTCTTGACTACCTGAAAAGAGTTGCAGCGAACCAGAAAGGAGCATAAGCATCAAACAGTAATAACAGAAGTTCAAAACACATGCTCCTTGATCAACGGAGGAGGTGCCTTCTTAGCAAACTCAATGTCGTAATTACCTGAGGACAATTGCCAGGAAAAATATTAAAAATTCTATGCTTCACTCCACTATGAACTGAAATAGATTTCAACAGAGATAGACCTTTGACAAGCAGTTCAAAAGATGCGTTCATCAGCAGAGAGGTAGTGCTTTGCCTTGCTGCAGTGGCCAATATGATGATGGAGTTGGAAAAAGGACACAAGCCGATCACCATTATCTGAAGCGATAAAGTTGTACTTTGAGCTTCCAAATTTCACAACTCGAGCTTGCATTAGAAGAATGACTATAGGAATTTTCCCAAGGCGGCGACTGCTAATTTCTATCAAGGCCATTCTGCAGCAGTGTGACACACTTATGGAATCATCTACAATAAAGAGTTACCAATCAGTTTCAAGAATTTCATTTTGCAATCATGCCAAAGAAGCTGCACTTAACCTAGGTACGATATCATCCTGAAAATGTATGGTTTTTAAAAGAAACTAGACTAAAAGGAAACCGGAGACAGCATTTACTATTCACATAAACTTGGGACATTGATCTGAAACAAAAAGGACAAAGTAGAAGATTACTTTTGAGTTTTGACTAAGATGGGCATAATATCACTCCAATCACAGTGGACATAGTATTTCCTATCAGTGTTTCCCATGAACAACAGGCTACTGAAGAACGAAATTAGCTTTTTCATAACAAGATAGCAAACAAATAACTAACAAATAGCTCCACAAACGCTGGAAGAGAGGAAATCATCCTTCAGAGCCGTCAAGATGCTCGACAAGGGAATCCAAAGAACCAAACCAAAGTAACAAGAAGACCCGTATAAGAGCAATCAACCCACAAAAGGAATACAAGACCTCCAAGACCCAAGAAATGATAACTCCCCTACTTCCGCTGAAGGAGTAAGATAAAGGGCACTGCAGTGAAACAAATAGAAAACACAATTCAAGCCTTCCCACAAAACAATATTGACACCGAATGAGTACAGGATGATGGGAATTGGCGGACAGTAAAACCAGGCCAGACATGTAAGGCTGGAGAGTTGTGCAACGATCCTCAGCAAGGTAAAACCCAAAACACAAAGCAACAAGGACTAAGATATCAACCAAAGAAACAAAGATATAACCTAAGCAACAAAACAAGAAAGGCAACGATATCAACCAATCCCAACTCAAAGGGCCATGAAAGCGTGAGAAGGATTCCTCCCCACTATTCATAACACCAAATATATATCTATATATATATGCAATTAATAATTTAAGCATGGATTCCTGAGTTAGAGATGCCAGAGGCAGAGTGTTTACGTAAGCACCAGAAAGATACACAATTAACAATTCGAGTTGGACTCCTAAGTTAGGAATATGAGAGGCAAAGCGGTTTTAATCAACCAAACCCACAACTGCCACACAAGAAAATAAATCACCTAGGCAAACCCCAAATGCGTCAAGAAATAGGAAAGGAAAGTATGAGAAATTAGAAAGGGAAAGGAAACCAAAGTATTAGCATGAGAACTAATCAACCACAAGCTCAATAAACTGATGTGGGAGCAAAGATCTGTAAGGAATTGACTTGATGAGAAATGAAAACAGCCCTATTTCCACTAAAGAAAATAGTTCAGCTAGGCATACCCCAACTGCATCAAGAGATAGGAAACCAAAGCTGAAGAAATTAAAGAGGGAAGGGAAGCCAGAGAACGCCACAGGCTCAATAAACTGTAGTGGGAATCATGAAAAATATTTAAAATAGCTCTATTGATTGTTCCAAATCATGGTGAAAGCCAAAAAGCAAAAGAGTACTAGAAATATCACATTTAAATTAGAAACGATCGCTCTAGATTACAGGTTATGGATGAATTTCAATCGCTTTCCTCCACAAGAACTACAGATCGAAACCGTTACCACCATTGAAGCTCATCTTTCGTGTGAGTTTTGAAGCTTGGTTCAATCCATGCACAATTGATAAATTCTTTGGTGTTGCAACAATCATCACTGTTGTATCCGCTCCAAAAAGTATGAAACTTTCTTGTTGCCAGAGAATAAAACACGCCGTCCTTCTCCTTAAACCTGTCCAGAAACACCTTGTTCCCCAAGCAGGAAATCTTCTCTCCACTATTTGTTGCTGATAATGCAGAAGCAGCGCTCACAAACAGCATATTGTCTTCGAGGTCATCCAGTTCTTTCCAAGTAATGGCTTCTTGATCGAGTGCATATACCTCCAGAACCTTTCCCATGTGGCCTATCAACACCGACAAAAGCTTCCCATTGCACTCCAACAGATAGCTTCTTTGTACTGACGTACAAGATCTATGAGGAAGCTCTATCGTCTTGGTGGTTCTTTGTTCAAAGTCATGAATGCAAAGATCTGCGTTCTTTCCCATAAAACATAGCAATCCTTTGTGGTAAATTGGATTACTGAAAGGGCTCATGAAATCACTGGTGTAGCTCGTTACCGGATAATCAGTCCAGTGATGCTGTCCTCGATAAATAAAGGATATCACCATTTGCTGCCACCAAGCAGAGTAGCAAATAACCAGGCAGTTAAAGGATGTCGGCGGAGACGAGAATGTGATCCCTTCAAAGTCATATGGCAGCATAGGAAGGTTGATCCTGTCTTTGGTAAAAGGATTGAAAAAGAACAGTTGATCAACCCCAAGTCCTTGTGACATAAGCAACCATCCGTGTTTGGAGCAGCGAATGACTGCATCTCTCAGACTCCAAGCGTCGAAAGACAAGATACTGGTTACACTGGTAATTGGGTTGAATAAGCTGACTACCTCCCCATTCATTCCTCTGTGTAAGAGAATCGGGAAAGAATGATTCCTCGCAAATCGATCGTTTGACGATGTAGAGACGACCCTGGAAAATGTCGAATTCCACGTTTTGCAAGCGAGACGGAAAAAACAACGATCGGCACCAAATAAGCGAGACTGTACATCGAAAAGAAGCTCACTTGGAATGTCGTACGACCAATGTCGTCCATCATGATCAGTAGTGCTGCTACTGTTGTTGTTGCCCGTCGTCGACGAGAGAATAATCTGCTCGTTGCCAATCTCATCGGGCGAGATTTCGAATTCTCGTTGAGGATCATCCGTTGAAGACGAGCAACCAAGGGGCATAATCCAATGCGGTTCAGAATAATCAGGTCTGTTAGCTTTAGAACATACTAAAGAGACGCTTATACTTCTGTCTCCAACGTCATACGCGTAAAGATACCCGGCATTCGTAGTCGTAAAGTACACCGTGTTCCCACGAACAAGTCCTCCTCCCACATCGAATTCCTGTCTTCTTGGGATTTGATAAGAGACGGCATTATCGCTATTGGAGCCTAAGAAGATAGCAGTGTCTTCGGGCAATGTCTCCAAGCGTTCCCATTTTCGTTCCTGGAAATTGGCCTTATACAAGTTCAGTTGCTTTACACCAATCTTAAAGCCCTCGACGCTACGAACCTTGAAGCTGGAGTCGGTGTCTCTATTGTCACCGTAGTATAGCTTGACCGTCATTAGTTCAGTAGGCGAGGCCTGAACCATGAACCAAGAGCTCATCATAGTGCTGCTAACGAAGTGATCCCCTGGCCCCCTCAACTTCATATCAATTAACTCCATGGAGGCATCATTGTTAGTAGTACCAAGTTCGTCAATTGCCAACTGAACCTTAAAGAGGCCTTGACAGCACTCGGAAACAACATAAAACTCGCCATTGAAGCTGACGATGTTTTGGAAATGGAAGGAATGGGTATCCTCTTCGTACCAACACTGACCTTGTTGCGGCTTCACTAGCTGTGTGGTCCAATCTTTATCCCCTGGCCTACAGAAGTGAAAAGAACTCTGCTTTCTTCGCCCACAATATTCGATACACATAACCACACAATTATCATCAGGAGGAGGAGAGGAAAGTGCGCAGTGGTCGATACTCTTCGCGGTAAATGGGAACCTGGGTAAGTGGAGCTCCTCCATGGTGACAGGGTTGAACAACGAACAATCGCCATGATCGATGTCGAGAAGCACTAACCAGCCTTGGCAATGTGCCCAGATGGTTCGATTTCGCATCTTGCGGATGTTTCTCACCTGGCAGCTTCGTTCCGACGAGCTGTAGAAAGTTTGCGACTTTTTGTGCTTCCCATGGGAGTAAACCAGCCATGGCTCCGGCCGTAGAACCGGTGGCTCCCGCCGATGATTCTTCCGACGACGATCCATAATTTTCCTGCTGCTGCAAGATGTTGCTAAAATACAGAGAACCCAAAGCTTATTTATGTTATCCACTCGTATGGAAAGCTTGCTTTGGGTATTTTCGAGTTCGGAAAGGATTTGGGTGTTGCTCTTTCCCACTCGTATAAGGAAATCGAAGAACGAACGCGCGCTACCCTAATCCTGGTTCTAGAAGATGATGTGGGCGTGGAGCGGCGATGTGTACAAAATTGAATCGACATTTTGAACGGGAGATTGGGAAAAGGAGAAGAGAGGCGGTGCCGGCGCTAGGCTAGGTTAAGGATCGGAGCAGTAGAAACTCGAGAGTTGAGTATTTTCTGCGATCGAGTATTATACACATGATGATCTATTATTGGACACGGAGTAATAAAGCCCAATACTGAGGAAAAAATCCAAAAGTACCACTGTTTAAAAAAAAATTTGTAAAAATACCACCCAACCCCAAAAAATTCCAAAAATACCACCCTTTTTCAAAAACCGCCACCCCACCCAGCGGTTTGGTCGAAAACCGCTTGTCGGGGGCGCGGTTTTGGACCAAACCGCGGGCCTAGGGGGCGGTTATAAAAAAAAAAAAAAATTTGGACCAAAACCGCTGGGTGGGGCGGCGGTTTGGCCCAAAACCGCCACCCCGACCAGCGGTTTGGTCCAAAAGTTCGGTCGAAACTTCAAACGAACGTAACTTTGCACTCGGGTATCCGATCGTAGCGATTTTTTTTTTCATTTCGCATAACTTTTCAAGATCTACAACTTTTACTAGGATGAAATTTTCAAAACAGGAACTATTTGTGGATATACGGGACCTTGAGAATAACTTTACCTTTACTTTTCAGAAATCCATGTACATTTTGAAATTATGATTATATTAAAAGTTGTAGATCTTGAAAATTTATGCGGAATCAAAAAAAAGTTCATAACATTCGGAGTTTGGAGCACAAAGTTTTGGCCGCCCAAAGTTTGACGAAAGGCGAGACCCGGCGGTTTGCGGCTTGCAAGATCTCAAAAAGTTTGCGGCCTCCATTTTTTGAATCCGAATAACTTTTTGAGATCTTGCAAGTCTCAAACAGTCGGGTTCCGTCTTCGTCTCGAAAAAACGTCATTTGCCACCCCGAACGACCTTTTTTTTTATTTCGTCAAACTTTGGGCGGTCATAACTTTGTGCTCCAAAATCCGAATGTCATGAATTTTTTTTTTATTCTGAATAACTTTTCAAGATCTACAACTTTTAATATAATCATAATTTCAAAATGTACATGGATTTCTGAAAAGTAAAGGTAAAGTTATTCTCAAGGTCCCGTATATCCACAAATAGTTCCTGTTTTGAAAATTTTATCCTAATAAAAGTTGTAGATCTTGAAAAGTTATGCGAAATGAAAAAAAAAATCGCTACGATCGGATACCCGAGTGCAAAGTTACGTTCGTTTGAAGTTTCGACCGAACTTTTGGACCAAACCGCTGGTCGGGGTGGCGGTTTTGGGCCAAACCGCCGCCCCACCCAGCGGTTTTGGTCCAAATTTTTTTTTTTTTTATAACCGCCCCCTAGGCCCGCGGTTTGGTCCAAAACCGCGCCCCCGACAAGCGGTTTTCGACCAAACCGCTGGGTGGGGTGGCGGTTTTTGAAAAAGGGTGGTATTTTTGGAATTTTTTGGGATTGGGTGGTATTTTTGGAATTTTTTTTTTAAACAGTGGTACTTTTGGATTTTTTCCCAATACTGACTGAAATTACATTGCCGAGCTTCAGCCCAAGTCAATCGAAATTCGAAGGTGGACAGTTCATGCCACAAGCTAGTCGTTGTATGATTTTTTTTTTCTTTCTTTCTTTTATTGTACACTAGTTTGTGACCGGTTTGGCGGTTCGTTAGTCGAATTACTTTATGTAAAAGTATGTGTATGTTCCTCCCGTCTCAACCCCCGAGTTTTTTTCTCAAATGGAGTATTCCCACCCCAAGTTCTTACTATTTCTCATCATCTTCCAATTTATTCAAGCTATCGATCGTCAACGCCTTGTGGGAATGAAGACATTAATCCCTTTTCCCGGTGACTCATAGCAGCAACAAATTTCTCATACCAACACATTGAACCTGTAAGACTGGGTCAGTTTGTCTACAGGGTCGGCTTAGGGTTGGTTCACTTTTTGACGCTATGACCCATAGCAACTACAAATCAGCGGCGGATCTAGGGGGGCCGCCCCCGGGCCGCGACCCAGCCCTCCCTCGATCCAGAGCTAGTATAGCACGTGTAAATTTTCGATTTTTGGTGTTCGTTTAGGTGTTCGTGGTGTTACGGCCCAACCTTCTCTGCTTTTTTCCAATGTGGCCCAGTGCTCTACCCAATCCTGGATCCGCCGCTGCTACAAATTCCTCATATCAGTACATTGTACCTGTTTGTAAAGTTTTAAAAGTTTAGGACTAAATTGTAAAAAATTGGATACCAATACATAATTTATCCTAAAAATGTGTACTTATTTGTAAAAAATAAAATTTAGGTACTAAATTATAAGGGGGGAAAATTGGATACCAAATTGTATTTTTATGAAAAATAGTGTATTGATTAGGACCGACCCACTAACTCGATCCTTCCCGACCCCTAAAGGGTCATAAAGAGTGAAAAAAAAGGATGGGGGCACATCAGCCATTTAACTTGATTGGTAATCATATTTGTGTAGAGTAGAGGAGGCTGCAAAGAAGGTAGGAGGATCTTCATTATCTGTAAAATGTTAGTTTGTAGTGTGAATTACCTTTGATTAGATATGGATACTTCGATATTTTGTTAGGAGTACAAACCACGTCGAAAGAGATTGTTGTCCAGATAGTTATGTGCTTTATTCCCCTCTGGTTTTGGATGTAGGGATACTAATTATTAATCTTTCTCTTCTCATTTTTCAACCTTGTTATCGACTTTACGTGGTCCACTATCGACTAGTATCGTAAATATTAATTTGAATTAAAAACTATGATTTCTATTATGAGACGATTTGAATGATTTATTAGATATTTTGGTGATGATATGAAGTTGAAATTGTTTATGGTCAATGATAACTTCATTATTGGATTAGTGTAATATACAAGTCTTGTATGTTACATTTCATGAACGGTTCTATCCACGGTTAATCACTGAACCTGAACCACTAACTTTTTCGGTTCAGCCTCCGGTCCGGTTCTGAAAACAGAGATTAAAACACACAATCAAAATCATTATTAGAATCACTACAACAAAAGTGTTAAATCACTAGTAATTTATCATTTTAGACTAAAATCAATTCTGACATGAAAAAGAAAAACACTATAACAGAAATTTTTTTATCAGCATTGAAATTCTCTGCGAGATAGATATTATAAATATTTTGTTATTAAACTTAATCTTATGAAATACCAAACATGTTATTTGTTACTATTTACCGTTAGATTTAACTTAAATATAATGAACGGTGATGAGAATGATTATTATGGTGCTAACCCATACAGAGTTAGCACTCTAACAGTCTAACTCCTCTCGATCAAAGACCGGACCATATTATATTCGATTCGTTATAATCCGATCCAAGTATCAGTTTGATGCAGTGACCGTTCAACCCCTAATTAACCGTTTCATAAAATTGTGTTATGCTGGCCAAACAGTAATAAGACGGGGAAGGTATCATGTTCCAGGTAGTTTTGTGATTGGAATCGGAAACGGAACGCCCTTGATTTCTCCCACTACTCCACTGGTAGCGCTGCAATACCCGTTCAACTCGGCTGATTCCGCTGGATCTTCCCTAGCAAAGCCAGAGGCACCGTCCCTAATTGTAACCCTATCTGAGAGGCCAACGCATAGAGCGCTCACATCTGGCTGCTCCGTCCCGTTAGCAATATCATCAACCTTAGAGTCGTCGTAGGAGCAACGGGAGAATTGAAGGCGGCGGCGCGTACGCTCCCGACCGGGCTGCCACGTCCTTCCTGCCCACGAGGCACGATGATGTTGCTGATGTCATCGATACGAGCAGTTTTGTGAAGGAAGAAGGGGAGATCAACATCGAGAATCATCTCCCGTCCTTTGCTCTGGCGACCAACAAAGGGAGATCCGACGCCGGCCACGAACGAGGACAGCGATGAGGACGACGGCGCTAGGAGGAGGGCTGGATGACGACAGGAGACGACGAAGTCGCCGTTGGCATTGGCGGTTACAATTCCGGACGGTGGCGGTTACGTTGGATAAGTGCTCTCTCCTTTTTTATTATTACTATTATTTATTTAATTTCTTTTATAATTATCCTCGATAATCCCGTGTAACGCACTCACGATGATTTCCGATAGAAGGGTCGAGTTCGACGGATTTTGATTTTTACTTTTCTCCGCAACTGTGCGCTCCAGCAATTTGCTGCCCAACGCCCTTGTGCGTAGCCGCTCGTGGTGTTTCCCCATCTTTGACACCCTTTCCGGTGAGTTTTGCCTTTTTTTGCAGGAGTTGTGGGCTGGGATCTTCGGTGAGTCTTTCCGGCGGATGACGAGCCTTGCCGACAATCGGCCAGGCTAGTGGGTTGCAGTTACATCTTTGTACAGTTTACCTCTCCCGTGGCTTCATTCTTGTTCAAAACGCTCCGGCATTCGGACGGTTATAATTTCATGGCGGTTAAAATTCTAATGGATAGGCAGTCACAATTTCAAACACGGATCCTATCCTGCATTCAGATAAGTCTATTAATTCTTTCTTAAATTTATATTTAATTATTATTATGTTTACGATTGTGTTTGGTATTTTTGATGGGAGTTGCAATTGTTTTGTAATTCGGTGTCTTTTAATGATAGTGAGAATTTGGTTGTCGTCGGACATGGAGTATATTTCTTCTACTAGTTGGCTTTGTCATATTTGTTTTTGTGTTGCAGAAGGCATAGTCTGTATAGCTTGTGTAGCATTTTCGGTGGAAGTCCGATTGTATTTTAATTTTGTTTGTCCTGTTAGGGGTTGGCTGCGTGTTATTTTGCAGGTACCTTGCACATCAAATCTACTGCTAGGCTATTGGAACTCGACGAATTGGTGCTTGAAGGAGTTTGCTAAAAGAAGACTCTCTTTGCGTTTTTTGGTTTTTTTATGTTACTAGGCATACTAACAGGGCTGCCCATCGCGTGGCATAAATGGCCCTTGCATCGGTAGCAACCTAGTTGGTTGACTACCGCCTTTTTATTTTCACTGCATTGTAACACTCTATCTATTACAAACTATCTATGACAAAAAAAAAACAGTAATAAGATTTTGTTGTTAAAAGTTTTGAAATTAGGGAGCGTGTGAAGATGGGGCGCTTTGCCGGTGGCGCTCCGGCGCTCCCTGAAAAGCCCAACTTTTGCTGTTTTTATTGATTGGTTGGGCTGTTGGTTTGGTTGTAGCAAATGGGGCCGTCAAATCAGGGCGCCACTCGACGGGCCCCGGCCTGCCTGCCTCCCCTTCTATTTGACAACAACTGTAATTTACCTTATCTTTGACCCAAAATTATGCCAAAACAAAAATTAATTAATTACCTTTCCATTTACCTTTCGGCAAGAGTTACACTTTGAATCAAGGTTGTCAATCCGCGGGTCGACCCAATTTGACCCTGACCCGGTGAGAAAAATGGTCTACACGCACCCGCCGGGCCGACCGCTACAAGGTAGCGGGTTGGAGGTCAAATTGTGTCATTTTTTTTCTTTGGTTTGCGAAATGCGCCTATTTTCCAATTTTTCTTTTCGCATAACTCAATCTTTGGAATCCTAAGTTGAACATTTGAATATTTATGTTATATAAGTGTGTGTGAATTTTCACTATATATTGGATCTAAGTACGATATGTTATTTTTGTGTAATATTATATGTTATAACTCATATGTTAGATAAGATTTGATATAATTTATGGGGATAAATACAATATAATGACTATTTCCATATTTCCGGGCCAAACCGGGCTAAAACGGTTGACCCATTAACCCTTAACTCACTAGCTCGACCGGGTCCGGGTCAACCCGCGGGTTGACAACCTTGCAGTTTGAATTGATCCTCGAATTATTTTTAAAAAAATTAATCGAATTGGCACGTAAATGTTACATGGTCGGTACTTAAAATTTTGGTTTCAATCGACGTTTGATAGATGAACTTTATAGGTAAGATTCGTTGATACGACAATAGCTATAGTTACCAGTTGACACATTATATTATGTATTGGAATCTCTAAGATAGAAGCGATGCAAATTTGTTTAATAGTATCGGTGACAAGTTGCAGACGGCTTCTTAAATCACTGCTCCGTTTGAATTATCGACCATTCATCCACATATAATGGTAAATATTCTTGAATTACGGTATTATGTCTGCTAACTTTTGTCCTCTCGAATCAGGAAGGTTACTTTCAATATCTCTTGCCCTCGCATTTTACTAACTCGTGCCTTGTGACGCTATCTAAACCCCTGTTTTAGTTCAATATCTAATAATAGGAGGACGAGTTGGTCAAAATCGAAAGTTCAGGGACCTTTTTGTTAGTCGATGCAAAGTGAGAGGGCCTAAATTGATACATAACCCTAACCAGATTCGATTTCTTGCCGAACTAATTACGTCGAGGAAGGCCAAATTTCAAGAAGAAAGGCAAACAAAACTTAGTGTGGCTCAGTCAGTCAAATCAGTCTGACAGAGTGATCAGAGAGAGTTGTGCATCTTCTCTTCTCTTCTTCCAGACAATTATAAAACAAAAAAATGGCAGCGTCGCCTCCCTAAAATCCTCTTCTTTGTTCTTTAGCAACTCCCCTTTCCTTCTTTCTCCATTGGAGTTCCCGCTTCTTCCACAAAACCTTCTCCGTTTCCCACGGGATTTGGGATTTCTACAACATTCACCCGCACTCTGTGAAACCTCTCTCTCTCGCGCTTACTCGTCCATTAGCCTTTCCCGCAACTGCGAGCCCACGGGGGGTCGGAATCTGCTTCCTCCGGCTTCTTCTTCTCTGAATTCCTGTGCACTTGCTACTTCTTCTAACGGCTGATCTGCTCACTTCGCCGGCCAGCTCCCGCAGCTCCCGCGCTCGCAGGTATCGGTCATTCTCTTTTTCTCTCGCTTATGATTTCTCAGTTTCGTCTTTCCATTGTGGCTGAACTGGTGTACAAAAGCCTAATTGTACGATCGACCGTCGCCGGCAATTCCTTGCCTCGATTCCGACTGGAAAACTTTACTGTTTACTGAACTTTTGGCTGATTGTGTGGGCTTTTTCTTTTCGTGGTGATTCGTGTGGGTGGTCGGAGCGTAGACTTTTGCGCTCCGTTTAACGGTGGAAAGATCACCGTTCGTCCACACACAGCCAGTCGGAATTGGTAATGGAGGAAGAAGGAGGAGGAAGAATCCCCAAAACCTCCACCCACTAATTTAATGCGTAAAATCCGTTTGGGCAGTTTGGGTTTTCCACTCTCCCCAAACCCCATTACCAGGTTTTCTTGTCCCTCTTCCCCTCTCTCCCTCTCTCTTAACTTTTTCTTAAACCAATGATAATCCCAAAATCCAAACAATTATATAGAAAGAGAGAGCAGAAGCTTCCATTTCTTCACTACTCATCATCATCTCTACCCCAAGCCTGATTGCCTGTTGATTACACACGGCTGGGTTGGACCATAATAATATCTTGGTTGATTTTGAGCAGGGAAGAGGGATGTTGATGAGGAGCAGATTGGCTTGCTGCACTCGGGACAGAGGGATCAGTATCGACTTCGATGAACATGACAGTAGTAAGTACTCCACCCTCTAATCTATCGGTACTCTGCTATTGAATTCTTCTTCGCCTTTAGAAAATTGGGTTGTTAGTCGATTCATTGTTATTGCTATTCCAAATCTGTCTGCCGTGTTTGATGCGGATTCGCTCTCGTGATCCTTCCAAAGATAGGGGTCCCAGGAGCTCAGCATTTTGTTTGCTTTTGGGCTATAGTCAGCAAAGTGCCATACCTAACACATGCATACCTAGAAAACGTAATGTTTAGCTTATTTTGTGAGGTTTGCTGCTAAAGTAACATGGTTTAGGTTGGTCTGACAATGTCCCTAAATGGGGCAGGATTAGCTTAGCCTTTATAATAAATGCTGTATAATACGAGTGTCTTGAACCGGATTTTGGCCATTATTTTGATAAAATGAGTAGTGGTTATGCAATTGCAGTTGTAGTGGGTTCATGGAACACCTGATTTAAAGGTCTAAAGAATTTGGGATGTCTGCAAAACCTGATCACTGACCACCACCAGGTGTTAATGTTGATTGTTGTGGGTGATGGTTGTGGGTCTTTTCTGTCTCGTGCTGCTTTTATTCCGGTGGGTTTCTGCCGGTTCCTTAGTATTGAATACTCTGGATATGCGAGGGAGGAGTGAGTTGGTCTGAATGGAGGGCACTGGGAACTGCGGTGCCTATTTACACTGGGTCCCGTCCTTCTGCAGTAACGAGCTGGAAAACATTACAGTAGTATTACAGTGAATGCCCCATTGTCAAGGTCATGGATCCTATGCTTCCGACGTATTTATTGTTTGGTGCAGAACGGGGAGGGTAAGGAGTGTATTTATTGTGTCTTAAATTTGGGAGTGGAAGGGCTGTCCTTTGCCTCTGCAATGGCCAGGCCCAGAAATCCCTCTTCTCTTATATATTGGCTAAGAACTTTGACCACTCTTTGCTATTCTAATCAATAATCATCATGTTGTTTTCTACCCTTTTTGATGCATGGCTCCCTTTTTATTTTCCCCCCTTTCCAGAAAAACCCGAGTAATTTAATGATTTGAAGTTGTTTTTGTGTTACTGATAGCCTGCAAAATACTTGATTATCATTCGTTCATGGTTGATTCTTCTTGCTTTTTACTTTTTGCTGGTAGGTCTCCTTTCTTCCAAAAAGGAACCTGGCCTACAACTAGTGTGCTTAGAAGTTCTAATCAAATGTGGTTTATAGGTTTTTTTTTTTTAATAAGTGCTGTTGGTGTTTGCAAAACTTCTGGAGTGGATTGAAGTAGGTTGACACCTATGGTTAAACTTTAGTAATTGATTAAAAATAGATTAATAGTGGAGGACCTGCCCGTTATGTGGTGCTTCAGTCTGAGAGATGTCAAATTATCAAGGCTAGATCTGAGTCTGTACTGATGTTTGAACTAGATTAGCACTATCAACAAATAAATTCCGTTTTAGAAGTCTTCAAATTATTCAGATCCACCAATTTAGGATCATCTAGGAATGACTTTTAAAAAAAAAAAAAATCATCAACTTCTCGCTCGAAAGAGCGCTCTAATTTTTAAAAATGCACATGAACTTGATATTATATTTCATTGAACTTCAGCTTCTGCCCTTCTAACTTAAATCATAACTGGTCCTTTTGAGACCAGCACAGACACATGGGATCTGTACTTAAGAATTTTCATGTACTATATATCATTTAAACATTATGGGAGTGCGCAAGTTTGGTTTCCCAACTAAATTCAAAATTTGTGGGCACAAAATAAAGGAAGCGGTGCTTGTAGTTAGCTGTAGTAGTAGTGACATTGATGTTAGGGACAAGGGATGGCGAGAGCCGCGAGACTCCCACTAATATGCATGTAGTTCCAAATTCTTTATTCCTTGAGATGTGATTCAAACCTTTTTTTTTTTTTTTTGGTTGGTCTGGGACCATAATTTGCGGTGCAGGGCTAAATTTTATATCATTGAAGGTCAGTTCATTGGTGCCCTCCGAAATAGGACAAGTAGAGAAAACGAATTAAGTAACAGGATAGGGACACAAGAGTTAGTATCACTGGCCCGCCGATGGCAGATGTCATCGTCTCTGTGAATTGTGAATAGTCTCCCCCAAATTTGATTTTTTTTAAAACTTTTATATGGATCCCATCCACCATCATGGGCTGGGAGTGGGACGCTGGGTATCCTACCTTTTTTCATGCTTTGAAGTCACTTGGGAGTTGGGATACCCCATTCACTTTCTCCCTTGTTTTTTGAAAGTAACGTAACAAGTTTTGGGATTACTTGTGCGAACTGTGATATTGTTGTTTTTTGCTTCAACTGCATGCATACCAGAAGTTTGTTTGTATCCTGGGGAATCTTCCATCTTTGCTGCTTGCACAGTGAAAAACCAAGACTAGTTAGGTGGTCTACACTGATATTGATGACTCAACTATACATATCTTGGGAAGGAAGTCTTGCTGATTTGATGGAATCAGTTTCTACAGCAGGAAGAAAAAAAACTAGACAAGTGTGCGGCATGTGGTGGCTAGCCAATTCCATCCCCCCATTCCACAAGCCATTTGTTTGATCTGTTATGGCGGATCTGTGTCATGTTCAAGTCACATGCCATCCTTTTTATGCTGTCCAGTCCACCTCTTAGTTTGGTGATCCGCTGGTTCATTGTCCTAGTTCTTCATCCCAAAGCTTCTGTGAAATTTCTGTCTTGCTGTAGATCTATTGATTGGCTTACCGGTTATGCATAGTTTGCTTTTTGAATGTGGAAAGCTGACAGGACGAAGTTTTGGTGTGGCCTGGTACATTGGCAGTAACCTCCCAGCCCTTTCCTACACCCACAAGTCATGGACATGAACCATGCAGGATTCATGCTGCAATCCTAATCTCAGAATTTCATTTTCCTAAAACCATGACAAAATCATCACCTAGGGTTATAATTTGATGGGTTCTAGTGTTTAACTAACCCCAACCTGGTAAACGTGCATGAAGTTTCATGGTTTGTTGTGCTTCATTCTTGATGAATGGAATTCGGACTTGTTAATACCTTTGTGACTCTTTCCATCTTAATATTGAGCGTAGAGCTGTTTGAATTTGTGAGTGCTGATATAATTGAAACTGCATGAACCCATCTAATAAAGGTCATTCCTTTATCATGGACCTCACCTAAGTGCTCGTTCTTATATTGCTTTTCATTGACATCAGGGATAATGACATATGATGGCCTGGAGAGCTGCATTCAAAACAATCAATCCTATGAAAATGAAAGCGGGACAAGTAGAGGTGATGGCTTTGTAAGCGACTCGTTTGATGATGGTGCATCCAGCTGCTCATCGAGCAAAGATGTTTTTGGGTCGTTCTCTTCCAAATGGTTGTGTGTGAAAAGGGATGATCAGAGCTCGGATGACTGGGACCTCCCAGAAAGCCCCCAGCACTTTTATGCCAAAGAGAAACCAGCTTATGGGATTGGGCTCTCAGATGTGGAGACAATGAAGGAGAAGTTTGCCAAGCTGTTGTTGGGTGAAGATATCACCGGCGGTACTAAAGGCATCACTGCTGCCTTAGCATTATCCAACGCAATAACAAGCCTGGCAGGTACATGAATCTATTGCCGTTTCTTTTCAAACTAAAACAACAATATTTGTCGCGTTGTTTCACTAGGGCTAGCCATATACAGAATTCTATCTGCCTATGCGTCTACAGCTATCCGACATAATCAGTTTTCTTCGAACAAAATTTAACCTACCTTTTATGCTGCTTGCTTCATTCTCTAGATGTTCAGTTAAGCTTTCTAGGCTTTTCTTGAGTTGCTTCACTTTCATTTGTATTTGTCATTTCTCCATCAGCGCTAAATGCTTCAAATTAAATTTTCCTTTAGCATCTGTTTTCGGGGAGCTATGGAAATTGGAGCCATTACCTGAAGAAAGAAAAAACAAATGGAGAAGGGAAATGGACTGGTTGCTTTCTCCCACAAACTACATGGTTGAGTTGGTTCCTGCCAAGCAAAATGGTGCAAATGGTCATACCATGGAGGTAATCTTCTCCTTTTTCCCTAAGTTTTTACTTGTGGAAAAAAGGGCTCTTCAACTTGGTGGGGTGTGCTTTATAAAAAAAAAAACTTGGTGGGATGTGGAACTGATCTTGGAATTGTAAAAGCAGATAATGACTCCCAAAGCCCGGGCAGACATCCACATGAATCTTCCTGCACTGACGAAGTTGGACTCTATGCTAATTGTAGGTGATCTCTGGAAAGTTGCGATTCTCAGTATTGATATGTTACTAATAGAGTGTCAATTCACGTATTTTGTCGAACTTAACAGGAAACATTAGATTCAATGGTGAAAAATGAGTTCTGGTACTCAGAATTGGGCAGCAGAGCAGAAGGAAGAAACAAGAGTACAAGGCAGAGCAAAAGGTGGTGGCTTCCATTACCCCAAGTCCCCACAGCTGGACTTTCCGAAACAGAAAGGAAGAAGCTGTTGTACAAATCCAGGGTTGTATATCAAGTGTTCAAGGCTGCCAAAGCCATCAACCAAAGCATTTTGCTTGAAATGCCTGTCCCATCAATGATTAAAGATGCACTTCCCAAGGTACAAAAAAAATAGAAGAAACAACTACCATCCTAAGGTACTTTGATTTTCCCCCCTGACAAAGCAATTCACACCAGCTTTACTTTGCTTCCATTACAGTCTGGACGGGCAAATCTCGGGGAGGAACTATACAAGTTACTGACAACGGAATCAGCGACAGCGGAGGAAATGCTCAACTCTCTTGATCTAAAATCTGAACACAGTGTTCTTGAAGCGGTGAACAAGTTGGAAGCTGCCATACTGGGATGGAGAGAGAGAATCAAAGCAGCACAAGTTGGCAAGAAATCCCCCATTAGAACATCCTGGTCTTCCTTTGGCAAAGACCCTATATCCGAGCTTGATAAGGTGGAGATCCTTGTAGACAGAGCGGAATCCATCGTCCAGCAACTCAAGGGCAGACATCCGAATCTTCCTCAAACGTTTCTTGATGCTACCAAAATCAACTATGGCAAGGTATGCATTGATGGAGCTAGAGGTTTATTGTTACTTTTCGTTTAGCTATATCTTGATGGTATGAATGAAGGCCTGATATCATTCGCTTTGAATCTGCGACCTTATCAGGACATTGGACACGCGATCCTCGAAGCATACTCCCGGGTTCTGGGGAACCTGGCGTGCAGCATTCTGACAAGAATAGGGGACATTTTGCAAGAAGACGCAGCCAGCAATCCCAATTCTGCAGCAACTACTCCTAGCTGGGATCATGTTGGTGGAGGGTTTGATATGACAGGCGGCGTTCATGGGTCGAAGCTGCGGTATTCAGATGCCAGCAATTCGGTTTCGGATTGGGAGTTTTGCCTCAGCGAACCGAAGTCGAGCTCGTCTGCAAGTGAGACCCCCAGCCGGAGTAGAGTATGGTGCATCGGCAGAGAGGCTTGTCTCAGCACCACGTCTCCCACAAACTCGCCATGACTGCAGAAAAAAATGTCAGTTTCTTAGACTTCGTTGATTATTATGGAAGCCTGCTAGCGGCTGATTTCCCCTCCCGGAATCAGTCTTTTGTAAATAATGTATTGCTGTTGGCTGTGCATTGTTCCGTGTAATTTCTTAATGTCATGAAACCTTGGGGTAAGAAGGGAAATTTTTATTAAGGCCAACACTATCTTGCAAGACTACCATCCAGCAACCCGTTCATGGCGTGAACCCACACAAACAAGTCGTACTATCGATCGAATCACTTCATTTACAAAACCGACGCAATGATATAAACCGATTTGCCAACTTTGGCCACGATCCACCCAATCCACTAGAGCTGCCTCCGCCCCTGCCTTTTTCTTACACTAAACATCTGTATTCCGTTATGCAGTTTTTGTAGTGTTGGCTATATAAACGTAACCGAGAAAACTGGGAGTGTGAGCTCCACTCCGCCAAAAACCTGTTTCCAATACGTGGCAGCCATGGACGGAGGAAATAGTACTGGAGTCGCCGCCGTCGGAAGGGGCACGAGCTTCCTCGACCTCCCGGAGGGATGCATCTTCCATATCCTGTCGTTCACTTCTCCGATCGACGTTTGCAAATTCTCCATGGTTTCCCCCTCCTTCAGATCCTTGGCCAGCTCCGATGACCTGTGGGAGAGGTTTCTGCCTTCCGATTACCGCTCCATTCTCCAGAGCTCCGCCGAGCCTCCGTCTTTCTACACGAAGAAAGGACTGTTCCGTACGCTTTGCACTCGCCCGATCGTCTTCGACGATTGCAGAAAGGTATAAGACAGCGAGCAATTCAGTTTGGCTTAGCGCGTGATAACTTTCAATTGGCTCGCTCGACGAGATTCAGCAAATGTCTAGGGATTGCTCGGGCATCGCATTTTCATGATTTTCGTAGATTGTGCTTGAACTTCTCGTAGACGCGCTCTTAAGAAATGTTCGAACTGAGTTGTGAAGAACTGATCGATTCGTCTAATAATGACGAATGGAAATCTGGTGGTAGGTAGGATAATCGAATGTTTACTTCATATAATCTTGATTGCTGAGGTCTTATTGTTCACATTGCTGAGTGCATTTGTCTGTCTCGTTTGGCCTCGTGCAGAGCATTTGTTTGGACAGAAAGAGTGGTAATAAATGTTACATGCTTGCTGCTAGAGATCTCTCCATTGAATCAAGTGGTAGTCCTCACCATTGGGCTTGGATCAAACACAACGGTTCCAGGTTTCGCTATTCGCTTCTTCCAACCCTTCCTGCAACTGACATAACCTTTCAACGCATTCCTTCATTTTTGGTTTTGACTGTGATGCTTCTGCTGTCTACAGATTTCCCGAGGTTGCTGAGCTTAAGTCGGTGCCTGCCCTTGTCATTCGTGGGGAAATTACTGCTTCTATGTTGTCTCCTGCAACAACCTATGTGGCATGTCTTGTTTACGAGCTCAAGAGTAATGTGTCTGGCTGCCTTTTGGTGGACATTTCTGTGAGCATTGCCAGAACTGCAATTCTCGCCCCAACCATTTGTCTGAAGCCTAATGTGGGATCCCATAATCATCATGAGAACGGTAGTGAGATGCTGGGAGTGAGACGCCCGAAGAGCAGGAGATCAGATGGATGGTTAGAGGTTGAGTTATATTCCCACGAAGGTAGCAAGAACTGTGGGTCGGAGGCTATTTCCATCCAAGTGAAGGGTGGACAGACTCAGGGTGGTATCATCATTCAAGGAATTGAGATTCGGCCTATGAATAGTGAAATAGGTAAGTGAAGTAGTAAGTATTGAGCTCTTAAGCATGTGAATTGCTGTTTTATGTCCCTTTCCCTTGGCGCCAATAAAGTTCTCGTGCTTTACTACATTTATTTGCTTACTGAATTGTGCTGCCATATTTTTAAGAAGAACCGTTTTGGCATGGACTTGGTTGGTTAAAGCTTTTTAGTCAACAGTGTCCTCTCCAGTTATCTTGCTTTTCCGAACATAGCATAACTGGTTTTGGGGTTTTTTCTATATGAACATCAACTGTTGGATCTTAATACTGAAATGAAGATGTTACCATTGTCATGAACAAAGGACTATGCTTTCTATAATCAGAATTTTACACGTCTTGGCACCATTTTTCAGAAGTTCAAGCAAACTGAAACATAGTTTAACAAGTTCTGTATGTGCATTTGTGTATGATCCAGGTCAGAAGACTGATTGGCAGAACCTCTTAGGCATCCCGAAGGAGCTTCGTCTGCATTATGTCGAGCCTAAAATTGTGAATGGTGGACTGTTTATCCCAAAGGAAGTGATTGAAGAAGGCATCAAGCAATGGAGCTCATCCCTTGTTGGGCAATTTATGGTGAAAAATCCTCCTGCCCTGCATAAGATTCGTGCAATGGCCAACCGTTTGTGGGGCAAAGAAGGCCAGATCATAGTTTACAAGATGCCATCATCATCACCAATGTTTCTCTTCCAGTTCCCATCTGAGGCAGTGAGCTCAAGGATCTGTGAAGGTGGTCCATGGCACTATGACAAAAGCACTCCATTGTTGCTCCGTAAGTGGGTGCCAAACATCCAACCAGTTGAAACTGGCGAGACGAGCATCCTAGTGAGGAATAATAAGCTTGAATCAGCAAAGCCAAAGCAGGTATGGGTTGTGAAGAAAACAGAGGAGGAAGGGAAGTTGAGTAAGGTAGATGGTCAGAGTTCTGCTGAGAAGCTGACTAATCAAACTGATGCAGTAGAGCCAGCGAAGCCCAACGACGTTCCTGAAGGTTCTATGGTTAATGACCGGAAAAGTTTGCTGAAGATGAAGGGCGGTTAGCTCTGGTGTCGTCTTATAATAGTGAGAGGAAGACCGTGAATGACAAAGATAAATGTTTGCGTAATATCAAGCGAAATGTCGTGGCTCAAGTTCTTCTCCTTTGCAACAACTGTGTTGGGAATAACTTGGGATGACTGCAACGCACCATATCCTGAACAATGAACTCGAGTTGTTGTATCGTATCTACTGACTGTTGTTGTGCTCAGTTTTGTTGATAGGATGCATACTGATTTTCAAAACTGGAAAACAGGGGGCAATAGAGCCAGTTAGAGACAATTTTATGTGCTGCATTACGGTTCCATGTTTGTGAATGATCACTACACCTTGTTGAAGGCCTACTGGAATGAGTTGAATCAGTACGAAACCTATCCTCCATGCACTTGTAATCCATGTGCCACAGCTATTGGAGTGAATCGATTGACGAGTAATGCATGTCCGGAAGTTCAAAAGGGTCTCGATAAGAACTGTGAACGATTGAAGACTAAATAGAATGTACTCAGAAGAATTATACAGCTTCAATGGCCATTTCTTTGCTGGGAACAACTCATAGAGAATGCAATATTCAAACAAAAGCACGTAACAGCAGAAGGAGCAAGTCTCCAATACTACTGGCTACAGTAGACACGCCTAAACAGATACTACAAATACATTGAGGTGAAGAGGCATTCTGCAACTGACGTTCATAGAAGGACCGTTCTGTCGTGCAGAATCTATCAACTCGGAAGAATGTGTTCCTACATGGTTATCAAAAGAAAAGGGAACATCATGAGAAACCCAGTGGAAGGTTTATGACTAGCATTTGACATCTACACCACTCATGCAGCAAGTACATTCTTCTTATGTGGTCAAGCGTCGTAACCGCAGGATGAAAAGAAGAGTGGAAGTGTAGGTGTTAGCTTGGACAACTCACCATGTAAAAGAGAAAATGGGAGCAAGGGCACACAGAAAATGCCTTCAATCCTTTCTTCACATGGCCACTGCATCAAAATTCTGTTTTTCTATTCCAAAATGGACAACCATATTCATACTGTATCCACAGGTTGCTCCTCCAAGTTGTTCTCCGCCTCTGGTTGCTCCTCCAAGCTCTCCGTCTCTTGCTCCTGGCTTTCTGACTCATCAGCTGATTTCGGATTGCTGAATTTCAGGCGAATAGGTCGACCCATGAGGTCCTGTATATGATGAATTTGTGCAAGCAAAATTGTGTCAGTAACCAAACAGATTCTGCTCATTCACACAAGCTCAAACACATAAATCAGCTACATGCATCAGAGACCTCAAGAAAACACATCCAGCATGAAATCTTAGTTCGAATTGCTTCTATCAACCGACTTCTTCATATCCATATTGCAGAACTTGAGAGGTATTCATTTTTTAAGCATACAGTTGAAAGAGCCAATGCTTTTTTGTTTTACCTTGCCATCCATAGCTGCGAGTGCAGCCTCTGCCTCTTCCCTCGAAGCAAACGAGACGAACCCATATCCAGCTGACTTCCCTCCTGGATTACTTTGAAAAACAACTCGACTTGAAACCGGATTGAACTCGGCGGAGAAAAGCTCTCTGAGATGGCTGCCCCTGACTTTCCATGCCAGGTTTGACGCGTAAAGCTTGTGAGATGTCTCTTTACTAGTAAGGGTCTCCGTTGGAGAAAGCTTCCTCTTAAGTCCATTTGCAAACTCCACTGTAACAATTCTCCCAGACACATCCTGCCATTTTCAGAAGTTGTCCAGTATGTTAAAAATCACAACTTCAAGATCCCTGCGTCCTGCTTTACACCTAACACAAACCTAAACTCCCCAAAAAAAAACTTAAGCCAATGCAAGATTGAAACCAGCCATTTCCCAAAAAAAACCTTCAAACTCAAGTACCTGAGAGTGAAATTTGTCTACAACAGCCTGAGCTTCCTCTCCAGAATCCATTGTTACAAACGCATAACCCTTGCTCTTTCCATTGGCTCGCTTTATAATCTGAAAGTCACAAAAAACGAATTTTCCGGCAGCAACCCACATCATTAAGCACACCACAGAACCAGTAAATCCCCCCAAAATAGCACCAAAAAATGTTACGGACAACAGAAAAGAGAAGTTCAATTTCCGAATTCAGGAACCTCAACATCCGCGACAGTCCCGCACTGGCCGAAGAGCTCTTTGATGTCCACAACGGTTAGAGACCAGGGCAAATTGAGCACGAAGAGCTTCCTCTTCTGGTTCACCGCCTGGGTTTGCTCTGATTCGGCTTCGGTCTCGGTCTCCACTGCCGCTTCTTGCACTAAACAGAGAGGTCTCCGGCGCAGGTGTCGCCATTTCGAGAGATTGACTACTGTGAGAGGAATGATTGGGCCGCTCCGGCGAATGCAAAGGGAACTGGTGGTGGAGTGTTTAACTGACGGAGGGGAAAGAAGCGGTCTGGGAGTGTATTGGGTGTTTGAAGAACGAGAGGAGGAAGGAAGAGGTAGAGGGTCGTGAACTGAGAAGAGAGACAGCGTTGTCTTCAGAGCTGCCGCCATTGTTTTGTGATAGAATGGATGTTACCGTCAAGCAGCGAAATCCATGATAGAGCTTAGAGCCTTAGACTCGTATGTATTCCTGAGCGGAATTACGGAGGGGACAAAATCGTCATTTCGTTAATGTAGGGTGAAACTCGGTATGGTATCGGTATCCAATACCAAATACAGAAATCGCGAATATTGAATTACAGCCCAAAATTAATTTCAATCCCAATTCCTAAATAATTTTGGTATCCCAGTCGATATTTTGGTATCCCAATCGATAGTATCAAATACGAAATTAATTACCTTTACAATTAATAATTAAATATATAAATTAGATTTGATTGTTTAATTTAGGACAAAGAGACTATATAAAGAGTCTTGAGTTTGCTTAGAGCTGAGATATTGATAAGGAGTAAGAAGAATAGAAGAGAGGTGAAATCTCAAACTTTTGTCATGATAATCTTTAATTTGATGAATTGGAAATTGAGAGACGACTAATACTAATGTTTGCTTTTTGGGGTGATGAAAATAACAAGAGAGTACGTGAGAGACGGGAGTGACTTAAATTGAAAAGTCAAAATTGAGTTGGATGTGGGCTTCTAAGTTGTGAAAGAGTGAGGAATGACCAAAGGTTGTGTGTTATATTTCATTAATTTTTAATTTTTGGTATATATTGATTACAATCCCGTAATCCCAAATACCGAATAGTACTCAAAAATGAATCTCAATCCCTAAAAAATCAATCAGTATTTGGTAATACCAATAAAAATAAATTCAGTACAGTATTCGTTATATCCCAAATGCTGATACCAAACTTCCAGCCCTATCTAGACATTAGATTTTTTGGAGCACTTACTTCAATTTGGCTACGGTGCTTGTAATTGAAGATCACAATTGAACTTAGAATAGTGGGTATTCAACTCAATTTGATTCGTCTAATCAAATAAAATGTATTCTTTGTAGATTTTGGGTCGGATGTGAGTCTTACTCATTTTTTTAATTGCTCGGTTAAATCGGGTATGTGTTTTGTCAAAATTTAATCAGCTTTCCATTCGTTCCAGACACATAAAGTAAACTGAAATCATTTTATACGTAATCTTAGTAATATGATAATTTATATACGAAATTAGTCTTTATATAAATATGGCCTTAATAATAAGGAACTTTTTTTAGAAAATATTGTATGATAATTTTCAAAAATATAAGAATATGGGTTGTCAAAGAAATTATTTAAAATTATGTCCACGAACCCAAGGGTATATCACTTGGTAGATTTTTGTGCTGACAGTATCCATTAAATTGGGTTGGATTTAATTTTTTTTTCATTCAAAACTAAATGTCACGTTTTTTCTAATAAGTCTATAAAATATATAAAAGGGTTTCTCAAAACCCCCTCATCCACGTCAGCCTCCTTGGCTTCCCCGCAACTTTCGGACTTCTTTTTTTTAGTAGTTTTTCTTTTCTCTAAAGTCTAAACCGTTCCCTTCCAAATTCCAATCGTCGTGTTCCTTTATATTTTTTGGATCATACTAAAACTGTTTGAATGCTCTGCACTGTAACGGCAAAAACCGGCAATCCACAATCGTTATTACCACTTAGGGTGCGCCTTCATCGTTCATAGCCCATCAAAATCGAGATCCACAATTTCTTCTCCCTCTAAAAGTCATCCTCACGACGATAATAAGATCATGGATTTCCCTTATGTACCCCACTTCTCATCATTCCCGACCCTTTCACCTCTAAATTCTCTTGATCCGTAATTTCTTAACATTGAATGACAAGTCCTATTTTGAAACTTCCTCCAACCATCTTCTGGTGTCGGCGGCGCCCCCAGAAACCAGATCTCGAATTTGTTACTCGATTCATACTCAAGGAAGATTTTTAATACTAGCCCAACCATCTATTTTGAAACCGGCAGCCATATCTTCAAAAGATCCCCTGCAGGAATCCTCCAACTTCAAGATCCGACGAGTTCAACGTCGCAAAGTTCGACCAAATCCCTACCTTTGGAGACGAGGCGAGAGATTGGCCCGATCCAATAAGAAGTAAGATAGAGAGCATTTAAGAGGGATTGGCTTATCGATGCTTTGTGTGGTGGGATTAGGAATAGCCATTTCGGAGAAGGATAAAAGGAACGGGAAGATGGCAGTGGGAAGAGATGGCAGCGGATGGGGTGTTGTCGGTGGTGATGGTGGGAAAGAGGTAGAATAAGACACGCAAAAGATTGGAGCTTTTTCCCTTTTTTTGATACAAAGATTCCCCCCTTTTTTGTTGGTAGAAAAAGAATGTTTTTTTTCTTCTTTTTCTCGCTAAATTATCGGATACAAAATGATTTTCTTAATTAAAATGAGTTGTATTTGATGAAGTATAATTCTGTTAACTTTTAGTAAACCTAACAGACAATGTTATTATTTGTATAAATCATCAGTGTTTTGCCGTCATTTTGTATTTTGATAAGTTGAACTGTTATTTTGAATAAATAAGAAGATTCAGAATTTCCATTAAAATGATAACAATCCCATCAAATTAAAAAATAAAAGGCAAATTTACCAAAACCACCTGCCCAAAGGGCAGGGTACAAGCTAGTTAATTTAAAGATATTTAACCCAATCTGACTCATTATCCTCCCTACAACACTCAACAGTTTATTTTGTGAGCACCTCCACACTATTATATTTGTCTTATTTTACACTTATACATTTTTGTCTCTTTTCCTGTTGTCGACTTAGATTTCAGTTAATTTTCACGAATGAGATCAACTTTGTAAAAGGGAAACAAAAGGTAAATATAATAATTGGAAACTATAGATGAAAGTAACTCCAATACTTCATTAGTAAAGTGGCAGGAATGGCTGCTATGTCACATTTCCGTACAAAATTAACCGCCATGCAGGCATCAATCTCCCTAAAAATTGTTTAATTCGGAAGAAGAAGAATAAGTTAATTAATGAACGAGAACCACTAATTAACCACTAAGATTGCGACACGTATACATCCTTAATTAATTACTTCTCTTTGTTGACATCCTTCGACAGTGCAAGTGCAACATCTGTCGGCCGGAATCATCAGTAGCTAGGGACCGAGACTGCCGACGACGTTGCTACTTTTCCGGGCACGTTCGTCGAATAGTATTGCTGAATCAGAGCTTCGAAATCCGACGTCGTCGAGGCGGCCACCTCTTCTTCCGACGTGCTTCCTTCAATCTCCGCTTCCAACCACGATCCATCGTCTTCTTTTTCTTCTTCTTCTTCTACTTCCGTCAAGCACCGTTCAAGCTCTGCTGCGTACGAGGATACTGCTTCTTCGCCGCCGCTAACGTTTCCGCCGCCGCAATCTTCATTTAATTCCGACAAGCAACGCTCAAGCTCTGCTGCGTACGTGGCTGCTGCTTCTTCGTCGGGATTGCCGTCTTCTTTTACTTCCGGCAAGCAACTTTCACTCTCCGCGTGAAACGACGTCGTATCGACCTTCTGCCGCTTGTTGTCGATTATTGTTGACGATTCCGCCTCTACGACGTCGTTGTAATCATCACCCTCGAGATCGATAAAAATCACTTTGGGTCCCTTGTTGTTCTTCCTCTTCTTGGAACTAGAATCTGGCTTCTTCCGAATCCGGCAGACCGCGAGCCTTGTCGCGGATGCAGAGTCCAGCCCAAGAAAGGGAATGGGCCGGTCCAGCAGGCAGTACTCGTGCATGATCCACGAAGTCGACGTCGTCGGCCCAGGCCCATTCTTCTCCTGCCCGCCTTTGCTCTTCTTGGGCCTGTAGCTGAACCTCTTCACGGTCCACGAAACCAGCCCGTCGGGTGTCTGCGCCTCCTTGCCGGAATCCTCCCCGTGCCAGCTCCCGCCGTTGGATCCGACGCTGCGGTCGATTCTCATCCCGGTTGCTGTTCTCTTCTTCAACGGCGTGACGAAGTAGAGATCGTTATCGGCGGAATCTTCGTCTTGTTCTTCTTCTTCGCAGCCGCGGCCTCGGAACTGCTGCCAGATCTCCCATGGCTCGAGGTCGCCGTAGAGATTGCAGTCGTTGACGTAATCGCCGGAGGGGGGCGGGACTCCGATTAACTTGCTGAGAAGGTAATTCACTACGAGCTCCTCGTCGGTGGGGAGGAATCGGAACCCTACGTCGCGGCGAGGACGGCGATCGGATTTGCTCATTCTCTTGCCGGGCGATTTCGATCTTGATCTCTCGCGCGCGATTGTGATGGAAGGGAAAATCGCGGGGAAAACAGAGAGCGAGCTAGTGAGAGTGAGTGAGAGTGTGTTTTTAGTGAGTGATAACGGGAAAGCAAAAGCAATTTGGAAAGGCCGTGGGTGTTTATTTATAGATTTTGCACTCTAACTTTCCGGTTTTCATTAGGAACTTCATTTTTACTTTTCCTAATCATAATTGGAAACAAATTAATTATATTTGGTTAATTAAAATGTTGTTTGTGTTATGGTCGCCGGGAAAATATATTATTAATTGTATTATTTACACTATTTCACTTGCATGGCATTCTACTATTAGTTGCATATTTTCAAATACATTATTTCTATATACAAATTTCATCCACCTAGGTTTTGTTGGTCAATCTAGTTGTTCTTAGTGGTGTGCTAACCTTCTGTACTACGACCAAACTCGTGAGAATCGCATGCCAATGAATGAAAGATATCTTAATGCAAAGTATCGGATCAAAAGTGTATTCAATCTGGTTTGCTCCGGTTCAAATGTTAATTATGTTAATTTTTCTTTAGTAATTATAAAATTTGCCGGACCAAAATCCGAACTGTATTATGTTCAATTTGGTACGGTCTAGTACAAAGTTGATTTGGTCCAATATATAGTCCAATAGAGACCAAACTGTTGCACCCCACCACTAATTACTTCGATCATGTTTGTCGGAGATCTATGTTTTGTTTTGATTTAGCATTAATTGGGTTAATTGCATGTTTGGTCACTGAGATTACAAAAAACGTTCAAGTTTGGTCACTCGAAATATTTAAATCCATTGATGGTACTTCATTTTACTGAAACTGTTCACGTTTGGTCACACTCCATCCAACTCTGTTAACTTTTGCTTACGTGGCAGTCAACTCTAAAAATTGACCGTTAAATGTGTGACGTGGCAATTTAAAAATAATAAAAATTTAAAATTGCACTCTCATTTCCACCTCATTATCACTTTTATTTAAAATAAATAAACTCTAATTTCTTCTAATGCCCAATACCAATACTCCGCAGGCAGCATACCCCGTCGCCGCCGCTTCCATTATTGTCGGCGATACGACTCTCCGTCGATGAACTGCTCCTCTTGAAAGACAGAGGAGCGGCAGGGAGGTAGCCAAGTGCAATAGAGTGGAAGGGATCATGGCGCCGTTGTGGTGAATCCCGTAAATGAGATTAATCGGACATTAAATTCGCCGCTTCGAATGGTCCTGGCGGAGAGAGTGGAGGTCACCGCCGGGTTACCGTGATTTGTATGGCTGTAGAGGGTGTACCACCGGGGAATCCGCCGGGTCTCCGTTGCTGCATGCAACTTCCTGTTGGACATCGCGAGGATTTCTTTTAGAGGCGGGTATGGGGGTTCTAATTGCTTAGATTGCTTTTCGATTTGTTGTTGCAGGGAAAGGACGGCAAGAGGAGCTCGGCAGGGGATTGATTTATGGTGAGAGGAGTGAGATGTGTTTTGGGAATTTTTTTTATTTAATTGAACCCACTTTTTCCTTTTCCTCCCCTCACTCAATTAGATCTGAACCCACTTAGATTTTGTTGGAATTAGATGGTGAGCAGTTTCTTTGATTGTATATCATGAAGAGTGATTTGCAAGGGATTATTTTGAAGGAACATGGTAAGAAGCAGCGCGGTCGAATGAGAGAGAAGATAGAGACGTGATCGGGAGCTCGGGGGTGGAGAGGAGGGGGATTTGAGAGGGATTGTAATCTGTAACTATTTCGGGGATTCCGCCACTAATGTCGAAATGGAATTTTGGTAGACGCCGGAGGAAAGGGTCGAAGGGGAAAGAGGGGTTGAAATTCCTCGCCGCTTCTAGAAAAATCGGCAAGAAAAAGAGGATGAGACCGTTGTTGTTGCCGGCGATACGACTCTCTGTCGATGAACTGCGACAACGGGGTATGCTGCCGGCGGGGTATTGGTGTTAGGGATTAGAAGAAATTAGGGTTTTTTATTTATTTTAAATAAAAGTGATAATGAGGTGGAAATGAGATGGCAATTTAAAAAAAAATACTCTTTTTAAATTGTCACATCACAAATTTAATGGTAAACTTTTAGAGTTGACCGCCACGTAAGCAAAAGTTAAATGAGTTGGACGGAGAGTGACCAAACTTGAACGGTTTTAATAAACTAAAGTACCACCAATGAATTTAAATATTTCAAGTGACCAAATTTGAACTTTTTTTATAATCTCAGTGACCAACCATGCAATTAACCCAGCATTAATTACATAATTTTGTAAGTTGGGTTTTGTCAATTTAACGTTAATTACTTTCACCAAAAAAAAAAACGTTAATTACCTAATTTCTTAGAACCATATCAAGAGTCTCGTGGACGAAACACCAACGCTAACATCATGCACATATAGAACGGTACACTATTATTATATTTAATACAACAATCCTTGCAAACCAGATATGTTCACCCTTACAATCACATGCCCAAAATACATAGTTCCCAATAATTCACAATCTCTATAGACCAAACAAACAAACAAACGCTTTCCATTTCCATCAACGGGAAGAATTTCTCAGCAACAAGGTCTTCGGCCTGACTTGATGCTGCACTCACTGGACCATTCCTCAGGAAACTAGATCTCCACATATGTCCCCTGTGCCCCCCCCATGGAAATGAAGAAAGCAAGATGTAACTTACGCGAGGGTTGTATTATGAACTAGCCAGCGAATAGCGATTTCACAGGGTAATGCAGCAACGACGAGTAGGATGTATCTTACCATGCATACATTTGATGAAGTAATCCAACTCCTGGAAGCAGACTGGTCCTTGGCACAAAGGCGATGGCTGATGATATACAAAGAAGAGGAAGTGGTGATGATCCGGGTTGTTCTTCGGCTTTGCCATGTCGACTACTTTCATATACCCTTCTCCGTCGTAGCACGACAGCATATTCGTGCCTGACACGGTCAGTCCATGGTCCCAAGCAGCGTGCAAAACCTGCCACACAAGATCAAAGGAACTTATCACCTCGTTTCTGTCCCTTATAAGAAATTTGGAGGCAGCATTGTTTCAGCTTTTAAAGTAGACTTCTTTCTCAAGTTACAAGTTTTCTTAAACGAAATAAACACAGTCATAGGCTCATAGCCCATAGCTCCCTCTGGTGAGCTTGAAACTGTAATGGTTCTCTATCATCTATGCCTCCTCCTAGGCTACGAGCAGGATATAAGGCAATATCTAAAGGCCAGTCAATTTTAATAAGGAAGCTCACGACAATGAGAAAGACCACCAACCTGCCAACATAAGGCTTCTGGATCAGCAACAGCTGCATCGTTGCCAGAAACTTGCAGTCCTGAGCACACAAGCTTAACTACAGCCGAGTGTTTCTTCAGAGCATCAAACACAGGAGAATATCCATCCTGGTTGGTAGGATTATAGTATCCAGCGGTTAACTCAGCAGCATGACTTGCAGTCTTGTACCACCAATATACTGCAGGAATCTGCAAGCACATACTGTCAGCTTCAAGAGAAAAATCCAGCTTCAAATGGTACAGCAGGCAAACTCACCTTAACAACTAATTTTGTATCCTCGAATGCAAGCCTGGCAAGGAACAAGACATCATCTGCATGGCCAATCAGCAATTGTGTGTACCAGCGGAGGAAAAAGCGGCCAAAGTAGCTGTCATAATCGCCTCGTTCGCAAAAGAAACCAGTTTCGTGGGGCCTCGAATTATATTCACCAGCATTATCAGGGCTTCTGGCCCAAAGTGTGTGACCACGCAATTTAGCTGCTCTCTGTAGATTTTGTTGGAGGTACTTGTCATAACACTGCAATGAAGAAATCAAATTTTAATGAAATGCGAAAACTTATTTACCATACAACTGCAAGAGATTGGGGGGAATATCCAGCTAAAGGATCCATTACTATTAAAACTAAATGTCAGCTGTGAAGATTAAAAATGATAAATTGCTATTAAGACTAAATGTTAAGACCAGTAAAACTAAATAGATGGACCGGTTATATCTAGTTTTTTTTTATCATGGTTTCTAGATTATCAATACAAAGAGTCATCGTCAGCTAAGTGACCACTGAAATATAAGAATACCCTGCACCTCCAGCAAGTCCACAATAACAACCATGGACAAACCAAAGAATACATAGTGTTAAGATGTAGACAAATTTTATATGGACTGCAATATAGAACTTACTATTTGAAACTGTTATCAATGAGTAATAACCCTACCAAAGATGTTGTAATCACCATGCAATAAAACAACAGCGAGACATGCATATGTGGAATAAGATACCTGAAACTCACCGATGCCAGGATACCTCCAACCCAATCTTTCTGAAAAAGATGGATATCTCAGTTCTCCCGAAGCTCCAAGGCCAATTTCAACCGCTGTTATAAGACCCTCAGCAAACAAATCGTCGAATTCTGTCCGGAAACTCCTCATGAAATCAAAATATACCTGATTTTCAAACTAGTCATATCCACAACTGCAGTATAGGTTCATACACTTCAGAGGCACTCCTCATTGAAGATAAAATAACAGCAAAGGATCAATGACCATACATGAAAGAGCAATTCAATGTGTTGCATGGATGCAAGATGATTCCAGTTACTTTTTAAATGACTTAGCAGTGTCGTACCAGAACTAAAATTTCAAGCATGTTAGTTTCACATGGACCAAATAGGCAAACACAGACCAGGAAGATTGGTACAGAGGTTGAGCTCAAGAAATAGAGAAGCCCAAAGGAGTTATGCAAGCAATGTCACTAATCAAGACTTCATAGAACAAATATGCTCAAAAAGAGGTCAGCTGTGTGCATTAAAGAAAGTTGAATACCTCAATGCCGGTTCTCCCTCTTAGGACTCGCTCTTTATCCACCCCCCAAGAAAGACATTCAGTATTTCTTCTTCCTTCACGATCTGTGAAGAATATATCTGGGTTCTCTTTCCCGATCTCTAACACCCATTGTGGGAGAGAGATCAGAATATCACTGGAGTCATTTCCTCCATACTCGTGAAATGCCATCACAACCTAAAGAAGCCGATAATAATTAGCAATTTACTAGAATGCTGAATGCCAGAGTAATAGATCTTATCCAAACTATAGCTACAACCATCCATCAAGCACCCTTGCCGAAAAATTATGATTCAAACGTTCACCGGAGAGTTTAGTTGGATTCCTTCATTATTCTAGTTCGTATATTTGTAGAACCAGTAAAGAAAACAAGCAACAGATTTGAGGGAACAGATAGCCATACGGATCAGCAGAAATCACCTGCAATTTCAACTTGAATTCCTTGACGAGGTTGAAGAGCTCTCTGTAACCAGACCACATATACTTTTGAGGGCTCCATGCCTCAACAATTCCCCACCAGCAGTCCACCACAATACCATCTACATCCAACGACTTCAAATGACTCAACTCTTGTCTAACACCTTGTGGATCAATCAACTGGCAGAAATTGTTGATAAAACCATTCTGATGGATAGTCCGACCCCCAAAAGCAAAGAAAAAATATCAGAAACCAGACCAAATAAACTCGATGATCGTCAGCACATATGACGACAGGAAATGGGCGGACAACAAAAGAAACAAAGTTAACAAGAACAAAAAGCTCCTCAGGATAAGAGCAGGCACTAACCACAAGCATGACATAAACAGGAACATACTGAGAGCCAGTGAAAGCATTTCCATCGTCACAGGACCGAACATCTTGTATAATCTGCACAGTCAACATACCAAAAAGAACATGTATTTCAAGAGAATAACCGAGAAATGGTACATGGAGGGACAAAAGCCTACAAACTCAATCGAAGAAGCAGCAATTATGTTAACATGATATAATAGCTCATCCTCATGTTGCAATAGTTGCTGAGGGAAATGAAAGGAACTGATATTAACGATTCCTAATTCTCCCATCAGTGAGCACCCATTCATCCAAAAACACAAGAACAGATAAGACCAAACGAACCTGATCAGGATCCAAACAATCAACAGAGTTGATGGGGCTTGAATTGGTAAATTTCTCAGCCTCATTTCTCGTATCTATTTCGCTTATCACAACTGAATCAAGAGAAGCCGCTGGCGACAAGCTTCCATCCATTCGAAGAACATGGGGCTGCTGAGAGTCCAATGCAGCTGTCACATTGACTGAACTATTCTTCAGGGAAGTTGCGGATATGGTAGGGCTTTCAACTGACCTTATTCCACCACCATACGCAGCCTGAGAGAACAACAATTCCCACAATTCAAAGGACGAACGAAACAAAGAACTACGATAACTGAGGGAAGCAACCATTACTTACCAGCTGAGGAGGAGGCGATTGGCGATAAGTGGTGCCATCAGTCTCCACAGTCCAGCCAGCCTCGCGTGCTAGGGCTGCGAGAACATCGTTCATATCCGCGCGCGCCGGTAGATGGAAATTCCCGTACTGCCTAAGTCCGGCGAGCATCCGGCTGGTGATGGCACGGCGGTGGCGCTCTCTGAGCTTGGTCCGTTCTTTCTCCTTCTCCCTCTCCCTCTTCCCCTTGCCGGTGGAGGCATTCCCGGCGGATTCCGCGGCGGTGGCGGCGAATCCACGGAGGCGACGAGGCTGGGATTGGGAATTGGAGGGATTGGATTGCGGTTGAGAGTACGGGAGTTCGGGTTGGTTTAGCGGGTCGAGAAGAAGATCTTGATTGTCAACGGGAGTGTTCATTCCTACCTCGGCAATTCCTACTTAGGCCGCCATTTTTTTGGTCCCGAGACTAAGAATGAATGAACCCCAGACGGGAAAATCTGTCAAGGCAAATACCTACTGCTATGCTTATGGAAGCGAACTAGCAAGACAGAGAGATAGAGAGAAGCACTTTGCCGGACTGAAAACTCTAGTCGCCGGGGTTATCGCCGGGGAATCGATCTCCGAAGTAAAAAAAAAATTCCAGCACAAGACGAAATATTAGTGGTGAATGGCGAAGGTCATGATTCTCTGCATAAGTTTGTGTTTTCTTGTAATTTTTTCTGTGTTCTTTTTCTTGTTTTCAACTTTTCCAGGGGATTTATTTACCAAAGGTTTTCAAATCCGTTTATATTATCCCGCTGGTTTAATAGATGGAATGGTTCGATTCGACCAATAATATTACTAGTTTGTATCGATTTATGTCGGTTTAATAGAATATATGTAGAAATGTGAAAAATCATTTTTATCAAGTAAATTTAATTATATATAAAACACATTTGAGAGTAATTTACTTACAATCCATATTCAAATTTAAATAGAATACGATATTCCAAATAAAATAACAAATATTCATATTTAAATATAATATTTAACGTTAATATCTAAACGTTTCTACTTGAATTCAACAAATTACATCCACATTTAACTTTTATATTCATAAAAATAAATAATAAGATCATTTTCTATTAATTGAATTCACAAAAGCGACATCATTTTGCTTAGACTTCGTAAATCGATCATGTTAGTCGGTCATAACCATATGTTCATACCAATTAATGACCAATACTAGGGGAACCGGGTTCAAGCTACCTTCATGTTATATATAGTAGGAAATCAATATGTCATATCGTACGATATTGCGACATATTTTTCGTATCAATAAATATTCTTTCTCATTAATTTACCGAGTTTTTCTGCTAATGTTTACCCTTACTTCTACTCGTTTCTACAGCTTTCCCGCTTAAGGGTTAGGGGAGGCCAGATCTGGGCTCGTCCCCAAACCCAGCAACATGTCCAAAAGTTAGGATTAAGCTAGTCTATATCAGCCTTACTGATATAAAGTTATCTTGTCTGCGTAGTTGTTTCGATTCATTAAATTGTCGAGTCAGAGACACCTATTTTAGAGAAATCGCGAGATCTTTTGAAACAATTTATAGATGGAGAACAGTAAGCTGAAATGAAAAACGTATCGGTATGTTAAAATTAAAATCGAGAACGGATAATTTGCTGAGAAAAATAATAGTTGACAAGCACCTTATTCATGAGTAAATTTAAAATCAACGATAACCTACAAATAGGGGTGGCAGATCGGTTTCCGGCTAGCGGCTAGCCGACAGTTTTAATCGCTAACCGCCGCTTAGTCACTAACCGAAAACCGGCCGGTTATTAGTCGCGGTCGGTGTTCGGCAAGACTGAAGGGTTCTCCGGTTAGCCGAGTAACCAAAGGATGAACCATGCATTGAATCCAATTAACCATTCCCTTCCCCCATCTGATGAACCCTAAATCCCAAAATTTTTGAATCCACTTCTCCCTGAATCTTCTTCTTCTCCTTAAATTTTCGAATCCCTAAATCTTCTTCTTCTCCCATCAACCATGTCCAATTCCGACACCGCCGCCATGAGCGACCTTCTATTCCACCCTCACCTCCACAGACACCACCACCACCAGCCGCCGCCCTCCCCTGCCTCCTCCTCTCCCCCTCCTTCCACCGCCACCACAACTTTCTCCACGCCCATCGTTCCTGGTTCCGCCGGCGACGGAACCAACGGCGCGCTCGCGGTGAAGAAGCCGCCTTCTAAGGACAGGCACAGCAAGGTCGACAGGTACCGGGAAGACTCCGGCGAGCTTCTCCACCATCTCCGCCTTCGTTCGCTCCGCCGCTGGCCCCACCCTGGCTGCTCTGTCGTCGCTGTCGAATTCCTCGCCCATGGACCATAAGCCCCTCCTCAGCGCCGCCCCTGCGACTGCCTCTGCCCGCTGCCTCGCCTCGATGACCTCCTCCTCCCCGGCGCCGCGCCTCGCCGCGCCTCCATGCTTCCTCACCTGCCCTCACCACCGAGGCGACCCCTGCAGATCTGTTTCCATGGAGAAAGAAGGTGAGAGAAGAAGAAGGAAGGAGAGAAAAGAGGTCTGGTGGAGGAAGGAAGGAGAGAGGAGGAGATAAGGAAGGAGTGGTGGAGATTTTTTTGTTTTATTTAAATAATTTTTAGTTTTTTTTTTGTGGAAAATGTATTTTTTTCGGTTGGCCGGCTAACCGAGCCTAAAACCAGAACCGACTGGTCGGTTGGCCGGCTAACCATGACCTCTCTTCGGTTTGTGGTCCGCAACTATAGAGGGTGGCTCGGTTTAACCGATAACCGGGTTTTCGGTTACACCGAAACCGACCGACTCCCACCCCTACCTACGAACCCCAAACCGCACAAAACTTTATTCGGAGCTAGAAGGTCAAACTTTTATTCCGCACTAACCAAACAAGGAAGGTGCCCGAGGGAAAAGAAAAAAGAAAAAAAAAAGGAGTAATTCTTTCTTATCCTACTACCACCTAGTTACAGACTTCGCCGGCAAATCCAACCACAGAGTTTTTTACATCGAACAAGATTCGGAGGTTCTCCTGCTGAAGATTGGCTATGACATTGAGCACTGAGTTCACATTGTTCGGCGCCGCCGCCATCGACAGGCAGGCCAGCGGCCTGCCACTGCTGTGGATCAGCGTGTTTTCGACCGCCAGCATCAAGTCGAGTCCCTCAAAATGGAACGCGAACGACGGCGCCTCCGCCTCCTGCCCATTCGCCGGGAAACACGTGTCGAACGCTCCCAACCTCGAGAACGGCCCCTTCACTTGCTTTCGAAACGCCTTGCGTATCGCCGCGTAAACCGGGCCCACGAACCGGGTTATCACCGTACCCGAGTCGATAATCGTGCCGGCCCCGTTCCTCGGGTCGAACGCCAGCGAATCCGACCGGATCGGCACCTTGACCGGGCCCACGCTGACCCCGGTCAGGTTGACGTAGTATAAAGAAGGGCGGCGTGGGTTCCGGAGAAGTGGCGTGGTCGAGGTGAACCCGGGCTGGTCCTTTGGGCCCAGCCTGAGCGAGCCGGAAAAGCTGGAGGACGTGAAGCTCGGCAGGCAGTAGGAGAAAACACCGGAATAGGCCGGCTCGGTCTGGCCCAAAAACGAGAGAGGCCCACGTCCGAAGCCCAGTAATCCCTGGGCCGGAACCGACCCGCCCGAAACGGAACCCACGCACCCGAAGGCGAAACCCGGGATGTAGCGGCCGCCGATGGCGAGCCAGTCGGTGCCTAAATTAGCGGCGAATCTGGAGTCCCCGCCGTACGACTGCTTGTACCGACACTTTCCGGCGGCGCACGTGCGCCCGCCGTTGGGGAGGAGGGAGCAGAGGTCGCTGGGGCAGTCGACGGACCAGTAAGAGCCGGAGGCGTTGGGGGAGAAGAAGGCCGCGGTTGGGTTGGCGGCGGAGCAGTTGCCGGAGCAACCCGAGCAGGGGACGAAGGTGACGTCGTTGCTGATGTCGAGGACCATGGCGAAAGTCTGGTTGGGGTTCCCGAGACTGACCCGGACCACGTAGTTGCCGACGTTGAAGAGTTTCTGGCCGGCGGCGATGGGGACGTCGTCGTCGGCGAGCGAGGCGAGGCGGGCGTGGTCGTTGGCGGCGAGGCGGTTGATGGTGTCGAAGGGGGAGGAAGATGGAGGCGGCGGTGGGGATATTGGGGAGCATTTGCTGTAAATGGGGATGACGGAGATTCGGGTGGGGTCGTCGGTGGAAGGAGAGCAATGGTCGACGGCGGCGGAGCAAAGAAGTAGGGAGAGGAAGAGAAATGTTGAAGTCGCCATGTTAATTGGTTAACCGGCGAGCGGGGACCTTTTTTTCTTTTCTTTCTTCCTTCTTTTTTGTTGGGTCGCCGGCGCCGGTGTATGTGAAGAACTGACGAGTAAAGGAAACTCCATTTATACAAGTTGGAAGTACAAATAGCTTTTTACTTTTTTTTTTTTAGTGTAATTGGTAGCCAGGCTGGTTAAGTACTTAAGTGCGGATTATTCTTAATTTAATATGAATTAATTAATTCTAGCCCTTGATCATTAATTATCAAAAAAAAAATTGACAACTTCGATCTGAAAATATGTTCACACCTGGCTCCTCTTCTCTGACTCGCGTCATGATTAAATTTACAATTATTGATGCCCATCCCCTTGATTCTAAAGTATAATCGTCCACTTACTAGGGTAATTAGGGAGATCCACTTGTGTTAATAATGGTTATATATATCGACCCACTGGGTTATAGTGATACACTTATTATATAAATAATGCTGATATTGGGATTCCACGTGTTTCTAGGAAAATGCACTTAATTCAATAATAGGGGTTTGGGCTGATTGATATGATCTGATCGTCGTATTGGAATCCTATCTTTTAGAGGAAACAAAGAAAGACTGGACCATCCAGATTACTCACGTGAGCCAAACCTGGAAAAAAAGTTATATTTTTTTGGCAAAATAGAGTTATAAATTTGGACATGATGTTAATAATAGTAATTTTTTTCAAAAATCACAAATATAGTCAGATGTAGTATATGGATTGCAAATACCCATCCATGGCTAATTTTATCCAAATTCAAGTAAACTCGTTAATTATAGATAGGGTATGCGTGAAATCTATATGAGTTTGAGGTTTTGTAGATGAATTTGGGTAGGATATTAGTATTGCTTACATATTCTGAATGGGTATGGTTTGTATATAAATGTCCATTTACTTCAGGTTGTTTTAAGTACACATTAAAATTATACCTATTTGTAAGACTTAATAAATGTAGGTATCAAAATGTAAGACACAAAAAATTTAGATACAAAAAATGGGGGGAAAAGTAATACATATTAAAATGTTGCTGAATCCCTATTTGTCGCCTTGATATTCAAATTTTATCGCTCTAAAATACACCAAATTTACAATCTTATCCCTGACCCCAATTTCTAACAAAATCCCTAAATTCCTTTCCCAGCCCACCGCCGCATACCTCAACCAGGACGTTGCTGTCTCTAAGATTCTTCTCCCGGCAGCTGCCCACCTCAACCTGACCACCGCTGGTGCTCTGCTTCTACTGCCGGAGTTGATCCCAAGCCGAGGGAGGAAGAAGACGAAGAAGGTCAATGCCTAACTCCTCTGTTCTGCGGTGGTTGGGATGATGGTAGAGCTATCGTGTTTGGGGAGCTCGGAGTATCGAGATTGGAATTGGATAGTGAAAATAGTGGCCGAGGAATAAGACAACAATTTAAATTGGTTGGTGGATTGGTGGATTGGATTGGTGGATCCATGGATCAAATGGGTTGGATCTAATGGATTGGTGGATTATCCATGAATCCAAATGACATCCTCAACCAAGGACCAATATGTAAAATGTAAAAAGTTTAGGTACTAAAATGTCACAATGAAAAATTTTAGGTACCAAAACGTAATTTCCAATGATATTTTTCGTATAAAAAATTAAATTTTAGGTACCAAACTGTACAAAAATAAAAATTATAGGTACTAAACCATAATTTGCCAATGATCCATGGATCCAATCCATGAATCCACCAATCCAATTGGATTTGGATCAATTGGATTGGATTTAAATGGATTGGATTGGATGGATATTTTTAATGAATTGGTGGATTGGACTGTGTATTGATCTTCATTTTCATATAATGACTACTAACGATGATCGTTTTGATATATGTCGTCAACGATTAACGTGTGGTGGTATCAGAGTTGCCTTGCTATTTCTGAGGTGGTTCTCAATTCTCATGCATGCTTCTTCTTCTGAGCGCTTGTCGATCACTCTCCAACCAGCTGAGAAAATATTTGTTTTGAGTTTTCATGATTGAAACAGCACAAAAATGAAAGAAGGAAAAAAAAAATTTACATGGATGCATTTGTTGACTTGCTAGAGAGGTATATATATATAAAGCTTTTATTAATCCTAAATCGATCATGTGTAAAGATAATTAAGACATAAGAGCGATTTAAAAGAAAAGGAAAGACACATGCGTGTGCTGAAAAAGCCACCCACACTACAACAAAAAAGTAGTTTTTGGCTTTTTGCAACTAAAAATTATACAACCAAACCAAAATTGGTTGGGGAAAGCCTAGTATTTACGACCAATTAGATTCTGGTTGCTAAAAATGTAACAAATTGGTTGCCTATTCAAATCAAAATGTTGATAACCAAATAAAAACTGAGGAGACCAAATAATTTGGTAGCAAAATAAAATTTATTTTTCTCAACCAAATAATTTTGGTAACAAAATTATTTTTTCTTTTTCCAACTGATTAATTTGGTATCATAATGAATTTAATTTTTTTAAACCAAATATTATAGATTACCAATTTAAATAAAATTGTGAATTCCTAGGGGTTGTAAATACAATAAAAGTTTACCGCAACTTAATTATTTGGTTGTAATTGTACTTATGACAAAATAAAATTTAGGTGCTGATCATGGTAGTGTTTAATTGTTTTTACCGTATAATTCTTCTTCCTGCGATTCCGATTCTAAATTCTCCCCCTCTTTTCAATTTCCATTATGACGATTTCGATCTTTCTCCAATTGACTACCATTAACTTCTTCTTCTCCTCATGGCTATGTATGGAAACGAAATACTACACTTGACTTTGTAATCATGTTTTATAAAGCATACATCGAATGGTTACGTTTGACATTTATATAGAAATAAAGTTTGGTTATGAAAGATAACTCTCGTGTATAATTTCCATGACGAAATTGAATAGCAAAAATTAGCAATTTAAAAATGATTTATTGGTCACAGTTTATTTGTAAAAAGCTTTCGTAACAGAAGAAATTGGTGGCAAAAAATGATTTAATTGGTTGGAGGACATGTATTTCACGACAAAAATAATTAGTCGTCTAAGATAATATAATTGGTTAGCATTTTTATTTTCTACAACCAAATTTCATAGTTTTGTTAATTTTTATATGACTAAATAAATTGGTTGTGATAATGAATTATTGGTTGGCATATGCTAATTTCCCAACCAAATTGAATGGTCGTCAATATTCGTTTTTGCTTCCAAATTTATAGTCACTAATAGTTACTTAAATTGGTTGGTATTAGTATATAGGGTGACCAATCACTTATATTTCTCAACCAATAATCAGCACTATGACAACCAATTATAGGAAAAAATCCCACTGTACACATGTTTTTAAAAAAAATTCTCAAAATACACATGTTATGAAAAAAATTCCCAATCTACGCATGTTTGGGCCTTCACCGCGTCTGACCAAGGCGGTGATTGCATCACCGCGTTAGACGAAAACGGTGATTGCATCACCGCGTTAGACAAAAACGGTGATTGCATCACCGCTGTAGAGGAAGGCGGTGAATGCATCACCGCGTTAGAGGAAAACGGTGAAGGTCTTACCTACGTCAAATCTTTAAAAAAACGTAACTTTTTGCTCGGTTATCCGATCGTGATGAAATTTTTTTTGATTCCGCATAATTTTTCGAGATCTTGCAAGCCACAAACGGCCGTAGGCGGTTTGGTCCCGCCTTCGTCCCGAAAAAACGTCGTTTGCTACCCCGAACGAGCCTTTTTTCAATTTCGTCAAACTTTGGACGACCATAACTTTGTGCTCCACAATCCGAAAATCATGAATTTTTTTTTGATTTTGCATAACTTTTTGAGGACTAAAATTTTTATCATAGACATAAGTTATGCGGAATCAAAAAAAAATTCACCACGATCGGATAACCGAGCACAAAGTTACGTTTTTTTAAAGATTCGACGCAGGTCAGGCCTTCACCGCGGCCGTCGAACGCGGTGAAGCTATCACCGTTTTTGTCTCCAGCGGTGATGCAATCACCGTTTTTCTCTAACGCGGTGATTGCATCACCGCCCTTCTTTAACGCGGTGAAGCAATCACCGCCTTAGTCTGACGCGGTGAAGACCCAAACATGCGTAGTTTGGGAATTTTTTTCATAACATGTGTATTTTGAGAATTTTTTTTAAAAACATGTGTACAGTGGGATTTTTTCCCCAATTATATATGTTTACGAAAAGTTTAGATTTTTACCATTGTAAAAATTGGTTGCGATTGCTTCTATTTTCGCGACTAATCGTCTATTTAGTTGCGTTAGAAATTAGTAACGCGGCTATAGCGATCATTTCTGCTGCCAAATGTTTTTGGTCGCCAAAATGTATTAATAACCATATTTTCGTTTTTAGCGACCATTTATTTTGGTTGCAACAAGCATTTTTTCTTGTAGTGCCATATTAAAAACTATGCAACACAAATTATATGTGGACAACACTCATTATACAATAAAACTTAATTCGGCTGTACGTTCTTTTTTTTTTTTTTTTTTTCCTTATAGGATTTCCAAAACAAATACTGGCCGAAATAATGTTTTTTGTAAAATATATCTTAAGCCATTAATTTACAAATAGGATTAATTTTTTTCCAAATCTGCTTAGGAAAAGAAAAACAGTAAACGCCGACTAATGGAAACTAGGAAATCGTTGGTGGGACCCAGTCCATACCCCTAACCCAAACCTATAAATAAAACACACACTACTCTTTCCAATTCCTTTGCTTTTCCTCTCATTTTTATTTTTTACTCACTCGCAACACACAATCACACACCACTCCAAGTACGTAGCTTGCTCTCTGCCTTTCCCCCCCCCCCCCCCCCCCGCGAGCGATAGCCCTACCTTTTCTCTGTCGTAGCAAATCGCGCGAGAGATCAAGATCGATCGCCGCGACAAGCTAAGTTCCGAGAGAATGAGTAAGTCCGATCGCCAACCTCGCCGCGACGTAGGGTTCCGCTTCCTCCCCACCGACGAGGAGCTCGTCGTGGGCTACCTTCTCAGCAAGCTGATCGGACTCCCGCCGCCACACTCCGGCGACTACGTCAACGACTGCAACATCTACGGCGACCTCGAGCCGTGGGAGATCTGGCAGAAGTTTCGAGGCGGAGAACAAGAAGACGACAACGACGGCGGCGGCGACGAGAGGAAGAACGACCTCTACTTCTTCACGCCGCTGAAGAAGAGATCCGCCACGGGGACGAACATCGACCGCAGCGTCGGAACCAACGGCGGGAGCTGGCACGGGGAGGACTCCGGCAAGGAGTCGCAGACCCCCGACGGGCTGGTTTCCTGGACCGTGAAGAGGTTCAGCTACAGGCCCAAGAAGAGCAAAGGCGGGCAGAAAGAGAATGGGCCTGGGCCAACTTCGTGGATCATGCACGAGTACTGCCTGCTGGACCGGCCCATTCCGTTTCTTGGGCTTGACGCTGCCGCCGCGACTCGGCTCGTGGTCTGCCGGATTAGGAAGAAGGAGGATTCGAATTCCAGGAAGCGGAAGAACAACAAGTCGCCGAAGGTGATTTTCATCGATCTCGACGAAGATGATGATTGCAACGACGCCGTGGTGGCGGAATCGTCAGTCGCCGATCAATCGAGCACTAACAAGCGGCGGAAGGTCGGTGGCGAGGGAGAAGTATGTACTTCTTCGTCGTGTCAATCGGAGATTGAAAGTTGCTTTTCCGAAGTAAAAGAAGGGGGCGGCGGCGGCAATCCTCCCGACGAAGAAGAAGCAGTATTCTCGTACGTTGCAGAGATCGAACGATGCTTGTCGGAAGTAAATGAAGACTGCGGCGGCGGCGGCGAATTCGGCGAAGAAGCAGTATCCTCGTACGCAGCAGAGCTTGAACGGTGCTTGTCGGAAGTAAAAGAAGACTGCGGCGGCGGCGGTAACGGCGGCGACGAAGGAGAAGATTGCTTGGCGGAAGTTGAAGAAGAAGAAGACTGCAGCGGTGGCGACGATGACGAAGACGACGATGGATCGTTGCTGCAGGCGGAGATTGACCGATGCTTGCCGGAAGAAGAGCTAGCACCGCCGTCGGAATTTGAAGCCCTGATTCAGCGATTCCTTTCGACGAAGGAGCCGCCAGTAGCTGTAATGTCGTCGGCCGTCTCAGTGCCTAGCTACTGATGGGGACTGTTGAGGAATGACGACGATGATGATGAAGTAATTAAGGATGTAAATGTCGCAGTCTTAGTGGTTAATTAGTAGTTCTCATTCGTTAATTAAACTTTTCAGAATTAACCAGTTTAATCTCAGTGGTTAATTTAAGATGTAAATGACAGGCAGCTGGCGATCTCACTGCCGCTGATGAATGGAGTTTCTTCTGTTTCCAATTTCCTTTTCTGCCTACTCTCAGTTTGCCATTTTGACTCCTTGCACAGCATAAAAGTTCTATTTCTAGGTCCTGATTGCATCATGTGATTGTAACCGAAAATGGAAACAAAATAAATTTGACAAACAGAACCACCTGCATCTGCAAATGCTCACAAATCCATGTGTTCTGTTTGAAGCAGGAAGGAATTTACTCTCTTTGCTGCCAAATATGGGTTGCAGTAGTTCAGTCCATTTCTGCCCAATGCTCTCACTTCAATTCCCGACCTTAAGGACACAGTAGTACAGTGTAATACAGGTAGAAAAGGGCTGAACTCTTCTTCTGCTAAACCTATATGCATTTTGAAATGTGAAATCTGTCATACTCATACAATGCAATTATGTTCACTCACTCTCAAGTCTCAACACACAATGTGGCCTCGGCTTCATCAACGATCGACTGCCAGTACTGCATCAGGACGCCTGCATATATCTCCCCGACATAGTGGACATACCCTGCAAACCAGATTGACAAGAAAGTGATGTAAATACCCAAGTTGATCACATCATCGATAAAGCATGTGGATTTTTATTGAAAATTCAAAATCAGGGCAACATTACATAAATCGTATTATGCTTCCATACCTATGAATCTCCTTCAGCCACTTGTCTATGCAAGCTCGATGAAATTCATGATGACAAGGCAGTACCCGCATGCACTCTCCTTCATCGTACTCGACAAGGCATATGTAACACCTGAAATTCCGAATGGAGGAAGTTAGAGGACGACATAAGCATGAGCAAAGCTATGATCACATGAGCTTTAACTTAAAGCACCAGATGGAAAAACAACGAGCATCCAGAGCTATGATCGGCATACAGATCAATATGCAAGAACTATTCTCATTTCCAAAACCATCTTCTCTAGTGTTATTTCCCAGGAGAACAAACAACTCTACTTTACTTCTAGTCGTAAAGCATGGTATATCAAGAGTGAAGCTTAAAGAACTATTCTCATTTACACCAAGCTGATTGGATAATCAGAAGCAGGGTGATTGATAATAGAAGAAAGCAGATAGTTTCTCCGCCCATTCTCTCCCCGATGAAAGAGCTCCAATCTATGAGAAACCCCCATTTCCCACGCAGCTAAATACACAGAAGCAAGGAAAACTTCCATAAAGTGTAACATGATAAAGGCTGAGACCCACACAATACAAGACTAGTATCCCTGGCATCACATTTACGCAAGGATGTAATTAAGTAAATGAAAGGAGACAGAAAGCAGAGAGAAAGAGAGCAAAATGACATACTGTGCTGCCTCATCATTCTGTTGTTTTTGTGATTTGGTGTATAACTTGACAGGTAGAGAATCCACAACTTCATTCGGTGCAGGAACAGAGCCAAGGGAAGATACAGAAGGCCGAGAAGATAATACCACAGATTGCTGGTGAATTTCATCCAGAACCTAATTAAGATATGTTCGGGGGAAATTTCAACATATAGAGATACAAATTGAGAAATGCAGGAAAGTGAAACAGAATAAAGGGAAGAAAAACTCAAAGGATCGCTATAGCAAAAGGAGCATATTACCTCAAAAAGTGCTTCAGCTAACATGACGATTCTTGATATGCTAGCTCTAGCACTTGTGTCATCATTTAAATTGGCATCACGATTACTTAGACGACATGTACAACGACCTGTTCTATGTTGACCAGATAAAATGCAAGACCTCTCATGTCCAGACAGATTCTCAAAGCGGTTTCCTAACCTCTGAAGAGCACGGACCTACACCAGCGGTGACATACAAGTCAGATAATGAATGCAGATGATTTCACTCCAGACTAAGATAAATATATATAACGCGTACTATGTTACAATAAAATAATAGGTGAAGATTAGAGCACATTAAAGATAATGAATGCACAGTATGCACCCTAGTGTCGAGATAGACTTTATTCAGAAATTCAAATGTTGGAAATCACAATTATGAGGAAGTTTATACATGACACTGTATAATGTGCGCGTATGCTGGACAGAGTGCATAGCATGCATTCTAAACCCATGTGCTGCAGAGATATCTCATGTGAGGAACAAAGAGAATTTACATACCTGAGACCGTATTCGTCTCCTTCGCTCAAGGAAAGTTGACCTATGTTCAAGTAAGTCATGATACCTATCTTCTCTTGATCGCGAAGTTTCCACTTCATGATCCTGAATGCCAAACAAGGAGTTAGGCATGCCAGATGAAGGATAACCAGAACCATTTGGATAAGCTGGTAAATCAAGCTCAGACCCCACAGCCCTAGCCACACCACCCAACTGCTGCACCCTATTACCCCGATTACCATCTCTCACTTCTCTTTCGTGTGGCAAAGGACAAAATGACATGTCAGATAGAGAAGATCGTCGGAGAACTCTATCACGAAGTCTCCCAACACTTAAGGTCCTGCTAAATCTAACATTCCGTTCAACAGGCTCTCTTGCAGCTGTCCGCCTATCAGCATGTCGGTTCTCGATACCATCCAAATCGTTCAAAGCTACTGGGGAATCTAGATCTCTATCAACCCAGACCTGGGTGGTTCTTTCATTTCCTATACTATATTGATAAGAAGAAATCCCCTGATCGGCTTGGTCCAAAGAATCAGATGGTTGATCATTAATCCTAAATCTAGCTGAAGTTCCAGAGACCGATGAAGCAGGTAGAACATTAGCAACTTGCCGAGATTGATCTCCATCATTTATCCCATTGGCAGATACAGGATGTGCACAAACCTCCTCATCATCATTCAACATTCCGAGAGTTGATGAAGGAACAGGATAAGCCCTTGAAGACCCTAAACTTGATGCTCTGCTGAGTCTGAAGCTCACATTACCAGGAATGAAGCTAAATCGAGAAAGGAAGCTACTTGGAGAAACAGCACGGGCAGAACTGCTAGCGGTTCTCGAAGCATTATTGGAGATACTTGCTTGACTCCATTCATCATGATCAGAAGTAGAAGTTACACCAGGTATATCATCAGAGTCTTGAACCTTAACATTTCTACAGCATTCAACCTTAACTTGATCCCCCTCTGTTTGATTACCAGATGAATCTTCACTCTCTTCATATTTACTCCCTTTCTCAAAGACCTGAAATTCACCAGAGCACCGTCAAATTTCCAAAACAAACATTGCCGAAACGATGTCCAAGTATGACTATCAGAATTCAGAAGTAACATCCCAATCCAGGCTTAATAAAACCAAAATCAGTAGAGAAGTTCTTAAAATATGGTTCTTCTAAGCCTACAAGTTCATACGAAGTGAAATTTCTGCTAAAAAATATTCATTAGTTCAAAGCCATGGTTCCTAACAGGTGGTCAGGACAAAAAACAACTGTATCTGGCCAGAAAGTCAGAACCAAGTCTCTCGACTTTGTTCCTGGACTTTGGTTATGAAAAAGTCACAGTGTAGGTCTACCAGCTTCTAAATATGCATAGTATTACTCAAACATGAGTTGATCTCTATTATAAACTCCCCCACAACTACGATTCTTTCTTCCTAAACGAAGAAAAACAAACGACTGCTATGCAGCTTTCCAACCTTGAAACACATTACCAAACAGGAAATGTTTTCCAACTCAAGCAACAAAGGTATAGACAGAAAATAGGGAAAGTGCAGCAAGATAGACTGACATGATCATCGACGCTGCCATTGCTGTTCCGAGACCCAGACCCGCGGCCAAGGCAATAAGACTGGAAACCCCTACTCCCTTTACTTCTACACTTCCGTCTGGCTCCGCCGCCGCCGGAACCACCACCGCCCCTAGAAGAAGATGCGCCACTGGAGGAGGGTTTGCTTCCGCTGGATCCCATTTCTCAAAACAAACATACACAGACCCAACCCAAAATGGAAAGACCGAAAATTTCTACACCATATTTACACAAGAAAGGCAGCTCTGAATCGAGACATCGAGATCCAATACTCCGTCACAGACAAAGAAAGAAAGAAGTGCGGAAAAGGGTAATGGAAACGAGGGTCAAATCAAATGGGTTGAATGTAGATACCCAGATCTGCAATCCCAGACCAATATGAAGAAGACAGCGTGGAATGGAGTCGTGGAAGAGAGGGAATGTGGTGGAGTAAAGAAATGGCGATGTAAATGAGGGTGGTTTTTGAGAGCGGTGATGTGAGTCGGACTAATCAACTAGCAGACTGTGCGGAGAGAGGAGGAGGGGGGAAAGAGAGAGCTCTGTTTATGTCTACTATGGCATCTTACAGGGATGTGGGGGAGTGCGCGTCAGAGAAAGTGTAATTTGGGGAAAGGGAAGGAAGGTACAGACATCAAGATGAAAAGAGGAGAAAGAAAGCGAGAGAAGAGAAAGGATGGAGGGAAGGGGAACATCAAGGCAACAACAATGGGGGCATCTTTGCCTATTTTCAGGCTGTTCTTTGGGGCCTCTGTGTTTTCTTTCGCTCCACCACCACCACCACGTGGGCTTCTCCCATTTGTCTACGGGCTCCAGTCTTACTTGCATATTTCAATTTTTGAAATCGGATAATGTTACCTCCAGCCATCAACTTTTCTCTTTTTTCCTCAAGGAGTCCTTGAACTCACTTTTCATTTGGATGAGCCCTTAAATGATTTAATCTCTAGCCACTAGGGTAATAGGGTGTAGGGATGGCAATTTCGACCTGACCCGTTTTACCCGACCTGTTTAACTTGTTTTTGGGCGGGTCCGATCCGTCCCGTAAGCGGGCCGGGCCGGGTCTGGGTACCTCCCATCGACCTGACCTGCCCCGACCCGCCCCATTCTTGACCCGTTCTTCCCTAAATTACATGTAATCTTAGTCAAATTATTTAGGATTTTTCTTTTATTACATCATATTTTAGTTATAATAAACTTGTAAATAAGTGAAAACCTTAATTTCTCCAATCATTTAACTACATTTCATCATATTATGGTTTCTTTCTTGATCTTTTAATGAAAATAACGAATATTTCTAATGTTTTTCACATAAATTAGATATACATTGGGTCTTTCTGTCAATCCGCGATGTCAATGACTAAAATTTTATTCACTTGTGTATTGGGCTTTGACAAAAAATTGTTCATGGTAGCCCAGCCCAATCAATGCCAGCTGCAAACTACAACCGAGAAGCCACTCCAATCAAATAGCCTTATTGCGCTTATTGGGAAGTGATTAGGAAGTGTCCATTCAACTAATCGAACCCGTCATGGTTTTTAATCATACGGTTTGACCTCTCAATCCTTTTATGTTGTTGAAACGTAATAGAATTGAAGGTACGACATTATCATGTTTGTTCGGAATGATCCTTTGTTTCCGTTATACACATACATCGTTTGGATGGATCAATTGTAAAACGAGACAATTTGACCAATTGTTTCATTTTACAAAACGAGTCATTTAAAACGAGTCAATTCATATTACCTGCCCCCACCCCAGACAATTGTAATTGGCTCAAAATGAGTCAATTCAGAATTCCCCAGCCCAAATTGCTTCATCCAAATTTTCTGCTGCCAAACGGATCAATCTGGCACAATTGACTTAAAACGAGACAATTGTGTCAGATTGATCCATTAGAATTCCTCATCCAAACGACCACGTACCAATTTATCATGTGGCTTAGAGAAATAGTTGCTCCGGTTAATAAAAAAGGATGAATCTCATATTGTCTCTGTCAAATCTCTTGTACCCACGGCTCCATACCTAATGCTACACCAAGGGTTGCATATTTGTTTTTGTTTGTTCCAAATATATAGGCGACATAAATTTGAAAACCCACATAATTAGACAATATTTGGAAAAGGTAACCAAATATTTTTTATGTGTAAATAACTACTCTACCCACATTTATTTTAATTATTCCAGGTTGTAAGAGTAATAAGATAAATTAATTTCTTTTTAATCCTCAAATCAAACACCAAAATCTATCATCAAATCCAACAAAATATGAAAAAAAACATAACTTTTTTTTCCCGACACGACATCACCTTACTCGAATACTTGTATGCCGTTTGGTGGTTAATCAAATTGTAACCGCTTTTAGTAAATTATGACTTGCTATCCGCAATTTATCAATCCGTTTTCACTTTTCACTATAGGTGGTAATTATGATCCAAATCCAGGAATTCAATCCAATCCATCCATCTAATCCAATCCATTTGATCCAAATTCAATTTGATTGGTGGATACATGGATCAATCCATGGATCCATATGGCAAATTATGATTTGGTACCTATATATTTTATATTTTACATTTTGGTACCTAAAATTTATATTTTTATATAAAAAATATCATTGAAAAATTACATTTTGGTACCTAGAATTTTTCATTATGACATTTTAGTACCAAAACTTTTCAAATTTTACATTTTGGTCCAAGCCTTTGATGTCATTTGGATTCATGGATCAATCCACCAATCCATTTGATCCAATCCATGAATCCACCAATCCATTAGATCCAATCCATTTGATCCATGGATCCACCAATCCAATCCACGAATCCGATCCAATTGCCACCTCTACTTTTCACCCTCGACTCCTATTTAGTATTGTACCTAATCCCACTTTGCCCCCAACCAATATGGTATGGGTAATGGGTACTAGCGCTGGGCCCGACCCGTTGTTCGGGAGAGTTTAGACCAAAAAATAATCCTTTGTGAAGTACTTTGCGTAGCTATTTATCTCCTGAAAACCAAATTAAGGGTATGGCTTCTTTCTATGCCTCTAGCTGCTTCATTCAAGCTACTCTTTGTAAATCGATATGTACTGTCACATTGTAATCAAGATGTTCCTTTCTATATATAATCAATGAAGTTCCCATTCTTTCCACCACATCTCTTCCTCAACATTTGCAATCAACCAATCAAAATTAAACACAGACTAAATCATCATTATTACCATCGTTCCTCTCAATTAAGCGAGCAGGGTAGCAAACCGCGGGGTGCTGAAACTGCCATTGACGAACAAATCCGCCAGCACTCTGTACATCCCTTCCGTGAGGTGAACCCCGTCCCAATTGACGTACCGGCTCGGGTCGGGGCAGGCGGCGGCGGCGGCGGACGCACCGGGACTCCCGCAGGTGGCGAAGACGTTGAAGTTGTACGGCGGGTCGCCCGACCCGCAGCAGGCCTTGAATTTCTCCTTCATCCGGTACTTCCCGGGGCTCCGAACCACCGCCCTGTAGGCGCTCCAGTAGTCGAGATAGACAATTGAGGCTTTCGGGTAGCGGGCCCTCAGCCCGTTTAGCTTGGACCGGTAGACGGAGTTGTGGACCTGGGCCTGGTTGTTGACGGTCTTGACGCAGCCCAATTCGTCGCGGTCGTCGTCCGGCGATAGGTACATGGCTAGGGTTAGGCATCCCGCCGGCGGGAGACCCTGTACCACCATCTTCTTCGCCCCCCTCTTCAGCAGGCCCTGTGATGGGGGAAAAAGGACGGTATAAATGGATAATTAGCCCATCTTTTAAAGCCCAGTAAGGAGCATTTGAGCTCCGGCCCACTTAATAGTCGGATGTTAATTTTCAAAGCCCAGTCAAATGTCAGTAGAATTTCGTGTAACCTGAAAAAGGAAAATTCTTAGCTTCAATCTTGTTTGGATATAGAAGCTCGATCATTCAATGTGTCAGTTTGTTATTAGTGTATTTATCTTCTTTTTTATTTAATATTAAATTATGCTAAATAAATTAAAAATTAAAATATTAAAAATGATGAAATCGGTAATAGAAAACTGACACGTGAGTTCAACTAAGGTTGGAGTTAAGAATTTTCCCCGGAAAAATACCTCCAAGAAGTTGGTAACGGTGGCAATGGAAAGTCTCCGGATAGTTTTGCCCGAGACTTCCGATCCAAGAGTATAGGCGTAGTCATTCACCCCAATCTCCCCGACCCAGAACAGAGCATCCTCCACCGCCGCCGCGCACGCCGCCGTTGCCGCCGTCGACGTATTTCCGTCGCAACCCTGGCTCCTGAGGGACTCGTCGAACCATTGGAGCTGGGTCTGGATGGAGACGGGGGTGTTGTCCAGCGTGAGGTTGTTCTTCACGAAGAAAGCGTGTTTGATCGCCGTCGCCCCACCGACGGCGAAGTTGGCGCCGCCGCCGTTGTTCCTGGCCCCCCGCAGCGAGCGGTAGGGAGGGAGGAGCGGGAGGGAGAGGGACTGGGCGACGAAGTCGATGACGAGGCGGCCGTCGGAGTAGCGGTTGGTCGGGCGGTGGAAGTAGGTGGAGCCGTAGGGCGGGCTGGACACGTGGCCGAAGAACCCGCCGCCCCCGCCGCCGGGGCCCACCGACGACGGCGGCCTCGTGTTGCCTGTGTCGGTGAAGGAGTCCCCGAAGGCGTAGATCTTCTTGAAAGGATGATACCGGGTCGGAGCCGCGGCCGCGGCGGTGGTTGAGGAGAAGAGAGCGGTGATGATGGTGGTGATGAGTAGTAGTGGGAGGGGTGGAAGCTGGACGGAAGCCGACATTTTTTTTAGCCTTCCGACGGAGGCTCGAGTGTAGAGTGCTCGATATCGCAGTAGGGATAGTGATATGGTGGAAAGAAGATTACGGTTGGGAGAGGATGTGTGTTGAATTTTGGTAATGAATGAGTGTGGGTGGGTCATGGGGCGGGTGATTTGGCCCATTTCGGGTCGTGGTCGTATGGGTCACGGTTTTGGTGGGATAATGAATGAGAGGTGTAACTCCTAAGGATATGAGTGTATGGTCCATAAGTACTTAGAAGTTAGAACCGTAAACCATGTTTATGGATCACTATGGGAACTCCCATTATCCTTGTTTTCTTCTTACACACAATGTGGTTGTACACATAAGAGTGATGAATCATTGGTCTTCCATCATCTGTATTCCGTGAATGTCTACTTTTACGCGATTTTGATTGTCCACACAAATTGATTAACAGCGACGGAGCCATAAATCTGAACAAGGGGGTTGACTTAAATTGTTTCGATTGGGAGATGAGGGCTAAAGTGTTGTCGACTACTCAAATTACTAAATTTTTTACAGAAATTTATATATAATGTTATTTATATTTTGTAGGCTACAACCCCTCGTAACTTAACTCTAGCATTGTTTATGAGGTTGGTGATCCAACCAAACAATCTTGCAAGTAGCAATGACTTTTTTCTCTCTCGAGTGAATATCATGCTAACTCACATGTTTTGCCACTGAAGCCAAGCCACCAATTAATGGTTCTCAAGTGATGTCATGTGAAATGTTGAGGCAATATAACATGAAGTGTCTCTCCTATTGCTACACTTTATGTGTGATCCAATGTAAAAATGATTATATTCTTCGAGGTTGTTTGGATGATAAATTTTAATGGATCGATTTGATCAAATTGTTTTGTTTTGAGACAATTTGATCAAATTTGGCGGCACAAGATTTAGATGAAGTAGTTATGCGTGGGAAATTTCAAATTCACACAAATTTTAGGCAATTAGAATTGTTGTGATTGGGTAGACAATTAACCAAATAGTCACGTTTTTTCAATTAATCCATCCAAACTACCCTAATTTTGTTTATTGCAAAATATATATTGTTCACCAATTTTACAAGTATGATAAGCCCGTAAGTCTTACGTTGGGCCAACAAGTAATCAACCCAGCCCGCCCACAAACATTAGGCCCGTAAGTCCTTGTTGGGCCGTGCGGGCCACCAATTACTATACGGCCTTGGTTTATCCCATTTCCCTTCCCCTGCTCCCACAGCCACAGAGATGGATAATGTTGCAAAGCAGAGGCAGAGGAGATCGTGGCAACTACAGATCCTCCGGCCGAACTCTGCACCGCTGTCTTCCCTCCCAGAGTGAAGAGCATAGCCGGCAATCAACCTAGTGGAAGAAGTGAAGAGTATCAGCGGCAATGGCTGCATCCACGTGCGTCTTCTCCTCCTGCTGCTACTTCCTCCCAACCGCGCGCCTGAGAAAATCGGCGAATCCCATTGCGGGAATCGGCGAGTCGGAGAAACACGCCGGCGATTATAGCTTTCTAAACTCTCGGAGCCAGAAGACGAGGAGGATAAGGTTTGTGGTCGGGTCGAGCTCGGGCAAGAAACCGGACGAACCATCATCGTCGTCAATACCGTCTTGGGCAGACCCCAATTCGGACGAACCGCCGCCGTGGGCTAAGGGAGAAGCCGCCAAGGCGACGACCGGCGGGGAAGAATTGAAGATCCCATTCTTCGCTTACCTCCTCGCCTCCGCAATCACTGCAATCGCCGCCGTAATCATCAGAAATCAATACCCAAATTTGGCAAATTCAGTCCTCCGCCAAGACCTGTAATTTCTTGCAGAAATCTCACGATTGTGGTGCTGCTGGTGATGCAGATTGGGTCGGTGTTCGAGTACGTGAACCAGAAGCCGGTTTTCGGGGTGCTTGAATCCGACAGCATTTTCTACGCTCCGGTGCTTGGATTCTTCGCTTTCACAGGGATTCCCACTGCTGTGAGTTCACTCGTTTCCCCTCCTTTTTTTTTATCTTCGGGTCTCTGTCTCTAATTTGCGCTGTGGTGGTAGTAGTAGTAGTCTGTGCTGATTGATTGGTGAATGGCGTCGGCAGGCATTCTTGTGGTTCAAATCTGTGGAAGCAGCGAACAAGGATGCGGAAGAACAAGACAGGAAGGATGGCTTTCTCTGATGTATTGCAGAGCATTGCAATTCCCCTTCCTTGTTCATGGTTACTTTGGGTTCAATCTTACAATTGTAATTTCTTGGTCCCGCAGTTTTGTTTGTGATCCCATACTTGATCATCCTCCATGTTTCCAATCACATTCTGAGTTCTGCTGTATCATAGTCCCATTTCTCACTTGTTTGTGCTGCATTCTGCTTGATTCTCTGTTTCTCCCCACAAGTTGGATGCTCCCAACTTGTCAAGTGAAAGCCTCAAGGCAAAATTAATGTACACGCCCTTAGTAAAGAGCCATTCGATCATGAGTTCTGAGTGTTTTGTTTCGAACATGATGATCGGTCTAAATATGTTTCGTACTTTCGTGGAACGCGCGAGGTTTTCTACCTGGTTTTCTACAATAACCAGGTAGGTTCGTCAATGACGAGCGAGTCAATAGGCTAACTCGAAGAAGGTGGACTCGTTGCTCGGTCTAGAACGGACATAGTTGTATATCGACAAAAGGAATGGCAGGTCTTGTGACAGTTCAATAATGCACAGCTTAACAAACAATCTTCTATAAGCCTGAGGATTTGTTCAGTACACATGCATTGATGCATGCTACTTTGGTTCCCAAGTTTTATAATTACTAATTAGTATAATTGACCGACCTATCAATGCAGAAAACAAAAGTCCACCCATGTAGGTGGGTAATCTGTCCAAAAAGAAGACAAACCAATCCTGTCCTGTACAATAATAAGGTGCCTGTGGGCTGCGTTCCTTCCTATTCCTGTATGGATCTTGTGTGTATGTATACTTTGACCTGGCTGTAACTGATGGCGCATCATCGCAGCAGGTTTCTGATTGTCCAACTGGAGATCAGTATCAACAAAGGCAGTCTCGCGGCTGCTGCTGCTGCTGCAACTGTGGCGGATCCCTTCTGCAAAAACCCAACAGTCAAAAAGGAAAGAAAAGCCATGTTTCAAGTAACGTCCAGTTTTTGCAAACAAATCTTCCACATTAGTTACTGCCCTAGCAATTGTTGTATCTTTTAACATTGTCGGCCGGGAATGAATGAGTTCGATATCGTTTCAATTCCGGCATATGGGTTCTTTGCCTTCATTATTGTTATGGGACAATCCGAGTACCACATCGGAGATACCAGGGGGAAAAACACTTGTATATTACTGTCCACCAAGCCCGATTAATAACAGTCGGTATCTGAGCCTGGTTCGGTTACCGGATGAGGGTCCCACCATACTGACGTAGTGACGTTCACCAAACCAGGCTCTGATACCATATTTTGAATCTGAAGTTTACAGAACTGGTTAGCATATGAAATATGTAACAAAGATTTTTTGGATTATCATGAATCGACTGACGAAGAACTGCCAGAAAGAATACATTGACTGTTGTGAATATAGAAAAAGAATAGATTTCCAAAGGCCATATTTGCACCACAATGTCTTGATGAATGCATTCAATTATGACCTTTCCTTATTTTTCCATTTCGTCCAATCTAATCCAATCCAATTCATTCTTCTGTGCTTTGCAATAATCAATCAATCAAATGCAATGATGCTAGCTGTGGTCTTCTTCTTTCTTCTATCTCCTACTACTACTCTGAATGTAAATGCTTTCTCATTATTGTAGCTATACCCTACCCTATTATATAGCTTGTTGAATGATATTGAAGTTGAACTCAATGGAATTTTGGAGATTGAAAAAAGCTATACATTTGGCTGCACTGGAACCATTCCGCCGCTGCCGCCTGTATTGTGGCAAGTTGGATTGCAAGGGTAAGGACAATCGATCTTCGCGAATGATCTCCTGTCATAAAACCATCCTCCCACTGCTGTTGCTATTTTCTGCATTGGTTGTAAATCTACATTAGGGGTTTTCATGATGGTGTGTTTAGGGTTACTGCTATTAGAACATGGGACACAGGTAACTTGCTTCTGAAGCTTCTGTGTGATGGATCACTTACCGTCTTGCCGAGAACAGGAGAGTCAGCCATGTACCAGGTTGCCTGAAACTCTGTTTGGCAATGTGAGTAACAGGAGTCTATGTACAGGCCCCTAGATGTAGAATTGCCTGATTTGGACATTAATGTCTTCAAGAACTGCATCCTGAATGCTGAACAAGAAAAAAGAGGGGCAAACCCAGTTCAATGATCCACTACTTCCTTCGAAAAAAGATGCTTCACAGGAAGTTTAACAGCATGGTTGAAAGAAACACCTTGCATTGTTTTGATCTGAAGAGGTGAGCAGCTGCTTATTTCAAGCTTGCAGGCATTCCAGGAGCCATGTGGATCTGCATCAGCAGGTGCCAAGATGTTCCTTATCTGACAAGTAATTCCCAGACATTTGTAAATATTTATTAAACCAGTATGGTCAAGAGCCTTATTCAACACAAAGGTATAGCTTTTGATCTTTGAAGGGAACTGACCTGCCAATAGTCATATGCAGCATTCAGAAGAAACACTGGCGTTCGAACTTGCTGTATTACATTCTGAGGGAAGAAACACTGCATAGAAATGGAAACGGAAGTGTTAAAAAACGTGCAAAAGGAAGACTCGCCAGTGATGGTAAAGAAAAATGAACACTTGCCAGTGATGGTCGCAATCTACGAGTACATGACAAAGGCAAATTCTTTGCAGATCCCTGCAACAAAGCATTGGATCAGAAAATTGTTACCTTATCTGGGCTGAAAATGACAGAGATGAGTGGGAACCTGAAAGAGATAATCATACATGTAATGACACTACTTGGCTGAAATAGGCTTGAATATGAGACGCTCCAGCAATATCCTTCCTGTTTCGAACCAACACTACACTTCAGCATTTCGCAGCGATGGGATTATTCTTTACAGATTTCTCTGCAGCAGTTGTAGTGTGTCTGGATGTAACGAGCTACGCAATTGTTGATGAGCTTACACATTGATAAAATAACCAGCATCTGAAAGGCATTTTACTTTAGTACCCATAGGGAGTAAAGCTCTGAAGCTGTCGCAGTGCATAATGGTGGCCAATCCGCCAGCTGAGCAGCCTGACAGAAGAGCCTGTAAACCAGCATTTTTGAAAGAGTGTTAAGGAAATTAAGACCAACATTCTTCTAACAGTCACACAGACAAAGTCAAGCAACCATTCAGTCTTACATTTTCAGCATTTCTCATCCCTTTAGCAAGGAGTTCCTCCATAACAGCAAGCCAAACCCTTGCTCCTCTGAAGTGAAGGTTAGTAGCCTGATCAAATTACTATCTTATTAAGAATGCAAAACTCTCAACATAGCTCCTCATAGAACACAAACAATAAGGAAAACAACTTACAGGATTCACTTGTTGATATGACTTGAATCGGATTATCAGCCGCTACGACTGGTAATCGGGGGTCTCGCTGCCCGGTCAGCGAGTGGGGTCCAGGGGCAACGCCCCGGTGGGGGTGCGGGGGCAACGCCCCCGGCCCACGGTGTATGGGCTCAATGTTATTTGGGTTCGGGTTCTGGGCCTGGTCTGTAACCGTTTCCTTTGCTAGATTGGATTAGGTTTAGACCCACATGGAGAAGTATTATAAATACTTTTCATACTCCTCTGTAATCTGTAATCTCCTCAGATATAGTGAAACTGGCTCTCTCTCGCCCGTGGACTAGCTAACACACATCGTGTTAGTGAACCACGTAAATCGTGTGTCTGTGTTTTTCGATTCTCGCTCTCGTATTCTTGCTTTGTCGATTCCGGCGATTTCCCGATCCGTAGCAGCGCGTTTATAACAAGTGGTATCAGAGCCGCGGTTGGAAATCAGGCTAGGTTTTTTCGATTCAGAAGAATGACGTCGGTGAACATGAAGATCGAAAAGTTCACGGGGAAGAACAGCTTCGCTATATGGCAGATCAAGATGCAGGCTTTACTAAAACAGCAAGGGCTGTGGGGGCCGCTGTCTGCGAAACAGAAGAAGGCAGCGGTCGATGACGATGAGTGGAATACCCTGGAGGAGAAGGCCCACTCGACCATCATGCTATCGTTGTCTGATGACGTCATCATTGAAGTCGCTGCTGAGAAGACTGCCGCGGGCTTGTGGTTGAAACTAGAGAGTCTGTACATGACTAAGTCTCTAACCAACAAGCTGCATCTCAAGCAACGGTTGTTCAGCTTGAGGATGCAAGAAGGTACGCCTTTGAGGGAACATCTCGAACAACTTAACTCTATTTTGCTGGATCTGCGTAATATAGATGTTCAAGTTGATGACGAGGATGCTGCCCTAATCCTGCTGGTTTCTTTGCCGAGTTCATATGAGAATTTCGTTGATTCTTTTATTGCCGGTAAAGAAAGCGTGTCGTTGGAGGATGTCAGGTCTGCTCTTCATACGAGAGAGATCAGACATAAGGCGTCCGGATCTGGTACAGGTGGTGAGGCATCGGGTTTGGCTGTTACAGGTGGAAAGGGAAAGAAGAAATCTGGTAAAGGGAATTCGAGCAAGAATTCCAAGGGTCCCGGTCCACAGCCAGGTGATGCTTGTCACAACTGTAAGGAAGTGGGGCATTGGAAGTACAACTGTCCCAAGAGAAGAGGGCAACAGAAGAAACAAGGTTCAGTTGCCGTGGCAGAAGTGGACAACAGTTCTGAAGACGATCTCGCCTTGGCTGTAGATGAGAAGGCACATCGTGGTGATGTGTGGTTTCTGGATACTGCAGCCTCATATCATATGTCTCCGAACAGGGATTGCTTCACAACCTACGAGCAGATAGATGGTGGTAACGTGGTCATGGCTAATGGAGCTGTCTGCAAGGTTGTTGGAATCGGGTCCATAAAGGTTCGGACACATGATGGTTCGTTCTGTACCGTGAATGATGTCAGGCATGTTCCACGAATGACGAAGAACCTGATCTCCTTGAGTCTACTCGACAGCAAGGGCTTCAGCTTCAAAGGAAAAGGTGGAGTTGTGTATGTCTGCAAGGGTTCGAAGAAGGTACTGAAGGGCGTGAAGCGTGGGACCTTGTATGCATTACAAGGGTCTGTGTTGTCTGGTTCTGCTGCAGTTGCATCGTCTCAGGTTCAACAGGAAGATATGACCACTCTCTGGCACATGAGACTGGGGCATATGAGTGAACGGGGGATGCAAGTTCTATCGAAGAGGGATCTTCTTTGCGGGCACAAGATGCAGAATTTGGAATTCTGTGAGCATTGTGTGTTTGGGAAGCTACATCGCAGCAAGTTTCCCAAGAAGGGTATCCACCGGACGAAGGGGATACTGGATTACCTCCACTCCGACTGTTGGGGTCCTTCACGAGTTGAATCCATTGGAGGCAGCAGGTATTTTCTGTCTATTATTGATGATTATTCGAGATTTACTTGGATTTTCATGATGAAGCAGAAAAGTGAGGCTTTCACGAAGTTCAAGCAGTGGAAGACATTGGTGGAGAATCAGACCGGGAAGAAGATCAAGAAGCTGCGAACGGACAATGGTCTGGAGTTCTGCAGTTCTGAGTTCAACGAATTCTGCAAGGATGAAGGGATTGCCCGTCATCGGACTGTGAGAGATACACCCCAGCAGAATGGCGTTGCAGAAAGGATGAATCAGACATTGTTGGAGAGAGCACGGTGCATGCTCTCTAATGCTGGACTAGAGAGAAGATTCTGGGCAGAAGCAGTAAACATGGCGTGCTTCCTGATCAACCGTGGACCTCACACAGGTATCGAGTGTAAGACTCCTTATGAAGTGTGGTATGGTAAGCCTGCTGATTACTCTTCACTGAAAGTGTTTGGGTGTCCTGTTTATTATCATGTGGATGAGGGTAAACTGAACCCAAGGGCAAAGAAGGGTGTATTTGTGGGTTACGGAGATGGAGTTAAGGGATTTCGAGTTTGGTCACCTTCTGAGCATCGAGTTATACTTAGTAGAAATGTGATATTTGATGAGAAGTCTATGTTTAACCCCATGTTGAAGGTTACTGTTGCTGAAGGTAGCAGGAATGTTGATAAGCAGGTGGAGCTGCAAACTCTCAATGAGAGTGAGTTTGAGCACCAAGGTGGAGAAGATCAACATGATGAGGATGTCTCTGCAGAGCCAGAAACTTCAGAGTCCAGTGCACGAGCTCAACAGTCTATTGCTTCCGGTAGACCGAAGAGAGCGACTGCAGGAGTACCTCCACAGAGGTATGGCTTCGAGGACATGGTGGCGTATTCATTTCAGGTTGCTGAGGAAGTGGATGCAGGAGAGCCACAGTCCTATAGAGAAGCAGTTTCGGGTGGTGAAGCCGATCAGTGGCTTGCCGCAATGGGAGATGAGATGGAATCCCATGACAGGAATCAGACTTGGGAGCTAGTCAAACGACCACAGGGAAGGAAGATTGTTACAAACAAGTGGATCTACAAGAAGAAGGAAGGAATCACTTCTAAAGAGGGCATGAAATTTAAAGCTCGAGTGGTTGCACGAGGCTTCTCGCAGAGGGAAGGAGTTGACTACAATGAGATTTTCTCACCAGTGGTCAGACATACTTCGATCAGAGTGCTACTAGCAGTAGTGGCACATTATGACTTGGAGCTCGAGCAGCTAGACGTGAAGACAGCTTTCCTACATGGAGAGTTGGAGGAAGAAATTTACATGACTCAGCCAGAAGGATTCGAGGTTCCGGGAAAAGAAGACTATGTTTGTAAGCTGAAGAAGTCCTTGTATGGACTTAAGCAATCTCCGAGGCAGTGGTACAAGAGATTTGACAGTTACATGCTTGAGCTAGGCTACAGCAGAAGTCCATATGATTGTTGTGTGTATCACAACAAGGCAGAAGATGGTTCGATGATATATCTAGTTCTGTATGTGGATGATATGCTCATAGCTGCGAGGTCAAAGTCTGATATCCAGAAGTTAAAGGGGCTTCTCAGTGCTGAGTTTGAGATGAAGGATTTGGGAGCTGCTCAGAAGATCTTGGGTATGGAGATTTACAGGGACAGGTCGAAGAAGAAGCTTTTCTTGTCACAGAAGAGCTACATCCAGAAGATACTGTCGAGGTTTGGCATGTCTTCAGCAAAGCCCTTAAATACTCCTAGTGCTTCAAATGTTCATCTATCCTCAGCTTATGCACCGCAGTCAGAGGCTGAGAAGGAGTACATGTCGAGAGTCCCATATGCTAGTGCAGTAGGTAGCTTGATGTACGCTATGGTATGCACTAGACCTGATCTTGCACATGCTGTTAGTGTTGTTAGCAGGTTTATGATACAACCTGGGAAGGAGCATTGGCAGGCTGTGAAGAGGATCTTCCGGTACCTTAAGGGTACACCTGATGTGGGGATTAGCTTCGGAAGTGATACAGAGTGCTTGGTGTCTGGGTATTCTGACTCGGACTATGCTGGAGATGTTGACACGAGGAGATCGATGACCGGTTATGTATTCACTCTTGGGAGTTCTGTAGTGAGCTGGAAGGCAACTTTGCAGTCAGCGGTGACATTGTCTACTACTGAGGCAGAGTATATGGCGTTGACAGAAGCTGCTAAGGAGGGAATATGGTTGAAGGGACTGGTTGGTGATCTGGGTCTACATCATGATCAGGCAGTGGTGTATTGCGACAGTTTGAGTGCAATATGCTTGGCCAAGGATCAAGTCCACCATGAGAGGACTAAGCACATCGATGTGAGGTATCATTTCTTGAGGACAGAGAAGAGGATTAAGGTGAAGAAGGTTGGCACCGCGGATAATCCTGCTGATATGTTCACGAAGCCGGTTCCACATGGCAAGTTCCAACACTGCTTGGACTTGCTGAATGTCTTGAGTGGGTGACTCCGCCCTACGGGGCATTGATGGCGGGAGAGAGAGAAGGAGCAGAGTACATCAGAGATTTCAGAGGAAGAGGATTCAAGTCAAGGTGGAGATTTGTTGATATGACTTGAATCGGATTATCAGCCGCTACGACTGGTAATCGGGGGTCTCGCTGCCCGGTCAGCGAGTGGGGTCCAGGGGCAACGCCCCGGTGGGGGTGCGGGGGCAACGCCCCCGGCCCACGGTGTATGGGCTCAATGTTATTTGGGTTCGGGTTCTGGGCCTGGCCTGTAACCGTTTCCTTTGCTAGATTGGATTAGGTTTAGACCCACATGGAGAAGTATTATAAATACTTCTCATACTCCTCTGTAATCTGTAATCTCCTCAGATATAGTGAAACTGGCTCTCTCTCGCCCGTGGACTAGCTAACACACATCGTGTTAGTGAACCACGTAAATCGTGTGTCTGTGTTTTTCGATTCTCGCTCTCGTATTCTTGCTTTGTCGATTCCGGCGATTTCCCGATCCGTAGCAGCGCGTTTATAACATCACTTTCTCTACATCGCCGGTGAAAGAAGACCCATCACAGTATCTAACCTTCACTCTGTTCCAGTTGTAGAAATCTAAAACAAACAGAGAAGTTATAGCAGAACTTGACAGTCAAGATACCAGAAGAACACCAAGCAAGGAAAGCTAACGAGAAAACTTCAAAGCAGGATGTCATCCATCAATGTCGTTCATTTTTTTTTTACCTGGATTAAATTGGCGCCTATTGCTCATGATTCCTGAGAAAGCAAGCTGGTTGCCCATTTGCTTAGACGAACCAAGACGCGTGTTCTTACGAGCAAGACACGAGGTGACATTGTGGCACCATCCCCCTCCCTAAATTTCCACAGGGACACACCATTTACTCAAATGAAAATGGGTGTACATATGCAGAAGCATCAACCATGATAGACACAGCAAGCTCAAAATGTCTCTAGTCATATTTTAGTCAAACAATCTAAACCCATGTGCCCATATAACACATCAAAATCAAGACTTTCACTATCACCATATACCAAACTGACCCTTCTGTTGCTATGGTCTTACAGTTTGGTGACCTCGATAACTGATTAGGTGAAAGCTGTGACCAGAAATACCAACCTCAAGTTGAACTAACCAACTATTAATCCCGGTTCCATACCCTTTGTCGAAATTGTATGCTGGTGGGCTTCCATCCAAGCAAACTGGAAAAACAAACCAAGGAATTATGAACAAAGATGACAACTTTATGAACAAAAACAGCAACCCATAAACTTGAATACCAATGTAGATGAACAGAGTCCCCTCACCAGCTCCTTTTGCTACACCACTGGTCACATATGTAATTGGAGCATACAGGCCGTCGGTTCTGGTCAGAGACAGCAAAACCAGACATACAGAGAGAAGGAAACATTTGCCTCTTAGCAATCTGGACTCTGCCATTCTGCACATGATGAGGAGAAGAAGAAGAAGAAAGATAAACAAATCGTGTGAGGAAGGAGCATTTTTTTGTTCTTCTTATTTTTATAATTTTGTGTGCTTTACATCAAAGGAGGAAAACATAGTCCACTGACAACATAAATGTGCTTCCACCGATTCTCAGCTGGGAAATAATCATTAAAAAACTAGAGAATACAAAGAGCTGGAACCCCAAAAAAGAGAAATCAATTGTGGTAACCACAAGAGAACCCACCCAAAAGAATATAAAACACAGTCAGCCAAGTGTTTATGGATCCATGATTATATTGTTTGGAACAAAGCAGCTTTTGGACATTAGATACCCAATGGGCAGGCGAAATCACATGATGGGTCCTTTTTTCTCTTTGTTGACAAATGTAATCACATTCCCATTGCCAAACATCCCCAAAAAAGCTCCACACTTTATTCCCCCAACCCCAAAACCCATCTGTTTCTTTCTGGTCTTGCTCACAGCTCAATGAATAGTGCCCATCCCAACACAAAAAACAGAAAAATTTCACCCACCCTAGGAAACAGAGAAGAGAAACAGAATTTCTTTCCAGAGATGAAATAAAAGCAATGCAAGTGATGAGAAAGGAGGGGGAAATGGCAGTAGAGCAAAAGGAATCAATTTGGGTTGATGGAAATGGCCTTACCCTTACCCTGGACTGAAAGAAAAAAGGAAACCCAGTTCAGTTCAGCAGGAGGAAAGGAGGGAGCTCTATCTTTTCAAGATTGCCAAGCTGTGTGGCATTGAGCAGCAAGCGGAGGAGACGAGAAGAGGGCACAATGGAAATGCAGAGCCGGCCTTTTGTATGGTTCCTTCCTCTTTCAAAGGAGATCGGAAGCAAGTTCTTTTGTTTGATTGGAGTTTTTTTGTTTTGTTGTGTTGAGGATATTAATTACTTAGTCAAAAGTAATTAATTCCTTGTCATACAAGTCCCTTGTTTCTTTGTTGTTTCTTTGTTCAAGTAAAAGAAGGAAACTTGGTTGTCATTAGGGTTTTAACCCTAAGTCTCTCTATATAAGCTTAGCTACGAGATTGTCGTAAGCAAGCCGTCACAATGTAGTCTCATAATAAAATATCAGTCGTGAGCTCGTTCCGAGCTCACCGTGGATTAGTCTCGATCAATCAATCGATCGAGGATACCACGTAAAATCGTTGTTCTGTGTTCGTTTCATCTTCCGCATCATCAAATTCTACATGGTATCAGAGCGAAACTCGATCCATTGTTTAGGGTTTTGAGCTTCCGTAGTCAACATATGTTGCCTCTCCGTGGCAGCATCGATGTCATCAGTTTGATGTCTCCTCGTTTCCTTCCTCCGTCCCGCAGCTAGCCAGAGTCAAGCGGTTGGCTGTACTTTTGTTTTCCTCCCGATTGGTGATGTCTGCATTCTAAGACCGAAGTAATTTTCGTCGTTGGCAACAAGAAATCCAAGCTCAAACGGAATCATATCAGGCGTCGCGAGCGTCTCAATCAAATCCCAATCATGGGTGTGACTCTTGTTCAGTTTGTGAAAATCAAGAGGCAGGTTTTGTCAAGAAGCACGGTCGCGTTTTGGTAATTCGACGTCGTGACTTTCCAACCACAATCTCAAGTTGGCAGCGCCTGAATCGCAGGCCAGTCAAGAGTCCTGCTGCCCGGAGATTTTCTACGGCCGTTGCGACTTCAATCAACCTGTCAAGAATCTCCGGCCAGTCAAGCCTTCCCGCCGCAGAGCGTGTCGCTGTCCCTAGTCAACTCAAGCACAGTCGTGGCCTTGCGGCTGTTCAGTTCCTATCGTCACGTCGATCTCCGTCTCCCGCTCAAGTCAGTCCAGAAATTTTGTTGGCGTTGTGGAAAGGTCGCCCTCATCAATTCCATGAATCGAATCTCCAGTCGGGCATCCGGTTCCGTCCTGAATTGTCGGCCAGTTAAAGCCTCTCTCTCAAATCGGCTTCGACAATAGTCAATCAGAGCCGTAACTCTCCCGAGTTCGTAAAAAAAAAAAAGATCACCGTCGTCGAGAAGATTCATGCAGCTGGAGTTCTGTCACCCAGCGTCTGTTCCGAAGCTTCGTCCCTATCCACAGTCAAGGATCATCCCGGCTCGGATCAGTCGTCTCCAACTTTGGGTTCGTGTATGCAGGTTTACTGGTATTTATTCCATTTTTGGAATATTTCATATCAATTGTCCAATTTGGTCCGTCAAGTATAAGTCTTCTCATCAAGTTTACAGAAGCTTATGTTGTTTGGCGCGTTGCAAGGAAGAAAAAATCTTTTTTCTTTTGTTATGTGTTGTCAACTTGTCATTCTCTGGCTTGGAATCAGAGTTATAAAAAAAGGGGGGACAAGCAATCTGTTCCGCAGCATCAAGAGCTCTCAGCTGCATTACCACCACGGGCTTCATTGAGTTTTGTTGTCTCAGAAGGGTATTGGATTGGCTTGTCAATCCCTACAACGATGGTTTTGAAGTCGTCGTCATCAGTTCAAAGAGGAGTTGAAAAGTGTCATCATCAAGCGAATCTTCACCAACATTAAAGTCATGGCATTGAAGGCAATAGTGGTCGGTCTTTATCGTCCCTTCAATAGCTAGTGTTGGGAAGATAGCACAGCTTCCGTCGAACAAAGTTTGTCAAGTCATAAAGCGAGGCAGTCACGATCCCAGTAGTGATCGTCCCCTCAGCATTCAGCATCAAGTCATAAAGCGAGGCAGTCACGATCCCAGTAGTGATCGTCCCCTCAGCATTCAACATCGGTCAATGTTGAGTCATCACCATTCTAACTTTCAAGCTGGGCATTCACATCGTTCATGCGTCAGCTTGAGGGGGAGAATAGGGAGTCAAGTCGTTCAGGAGATGCAGTCTACCATCTCCACCATATCATATGGATAGACGTAGTCAACCGTCTCCGTCAAGTCATTCAAGAGACGCAATCAACCGTCTCCGTCGCGACGTTCAAGAAGATGCAGTCAACCATCTTCATCAGGTTGCTCAAGGGAGAGAGTCAGTCGTCTCCAAGTCAGCCTTGTCCGAGATGTTGTTCATCTCGAGTTTTGTTGTTCAAGCTTGTCATGCTTGTTCGTCACATTTCCTTTTTCAAGCTCGACATTCTTGTCATTCATGTCTTCGCTTGAGGGGGAGTGTTGAGGATATTAATTACTTAGTCAAAAGTAATTAATTCCTTGTCATACAAGTCCCTTGTTTCTTTGTTGTTTCTTTGTTCAAGTAAAAGAAGGAAACTTGGTTGTCATTAGGGTTTTAACCCTAAGTCTCTCTATATAAGCTTAGCTACGAGATTGTCGTAAGCAAGCCGTCACAATGTAGTCTCATAATAAAATATCAGTCGTGAGCTCGTTCCGAGCTCACCGTGGATTAGTCTCGATCAATCAATCGATCGAGGATACCACGTAAAATCGTTGTTCTGTGTTCGTTTCATCTTCCGCATCATCAAATTCTACATGTTGTGTTCTGAGGAGGGAGCAAAAATGCAGAGAACCCAAGAGCCGACACTCATTCGCTTCCAATCCAACACCGCCACCACGGCTTTATATACTGCCCACTCCCGTCCCTCCATTTCCCATTATTACTCTGTATATTTTTGTAATAAGGTGATGATAATAAACTAATGTAGAAAGAAAACGACGGAGTGTTGAAATTTTCTTTTCCACAGGTGTTGTGTCAATTCAATTGCCTTTATTTCGAACACAATTTTATGGTAATTAGTCGATTATGTTATCCCAATCGCCTGCCTGAAAACAAATACTTTCTTCTGATTAGTAATTACTGATTGGCATGTCTACTTACCAAAATGGATTTTTTTTTTCCGTTGAATTATTTTCCAAAATAATTACTAATGAATTTGTATGGTTTCTTAGCCAATAACCAGTTCTAGAAAACTGGTTCGATTATCTCATTATAATAAAAACTACGTAAACTGGGAGATAATAAACAAAAGAGTTGACACGAAAAAATAATGTGTGAGATTCTGTCTTCTATTTCAAGTCACCTCTCGGGGCAGTAACAAGTTGTCAAGATTTTCAAGTTTGTTATTCTCGGAATTTCAAGTTTTGCGAATAAGGGTTTGAACCTGGAGATCTCAGGTTCGAATTCACTAAATAACATCTAATTATTATTATAGAATAAACCTATATCAATCTTAGCAGGGGGGAAAAATCAAGTTGGTATTTTTTTTTGTACTCTTGTCATTTTATAGATACATGATCCAAACACATGTTATTTTCTTTTCTTTACTTTGATTAACACAAGTATTATGCTCAACATAGACAGTAAATAATATAGATTCGAATCTTGTGATCAACAATCGATAAAAAAAAAATAGTTACAATTTTTTATGGGGTAAATAAATTAGTAATCAAATAGCCTAATGTCCACCAAAATTTGCTTCGAATTCGTGTTCTTGTGATCATGCAGTTTTAAAATTAGCAAGGCTAGAGTCCGAAAGTTGACAATTGTTAGGAGGAAATTTCTTAAGATAATAAATTAGGGATGCAAAGCAAAACCTCTATTAATTAACATAGGAATGTTGACTCTTAGCATGTTTTGCCTTCTCATTAATTATATTGGTGGTTGTTAAAATGCAAATAACATAGAATATTTCAACTCTATAACAATTATTGAAGTAATAATTTTAATATACTAAGATACTTTAATCATCACAAAGACGTAGTGCTAGCTTATGCATGTCTAAGATAATTGCAAATAGGTTAGCCAAATTCATGACAACTAATAGTTCACCAACATTTGACTTCCTCACATTTTAATTATATATGCACTACCAAGCAATTCAAGTTTTTGGAAAGCCTATTCTCGCTTTTAAAGGCTTGGGAAATGACCATCTCGCTATATCTAAGTTTTACGCATATTTAGCGTTTACCTGAATGTATCTTGAGATTGCAAAACATTTATGGTGAAGGTAATGCAACGCCTCAAGAGCCACCAAAGCATTACTATCCAGGATGAACCTTCCTCGGAGGAAAGCACACTGCATATCTTAAACTGACATGTCGTTGCAATACAGAAGGATCAATATCCTCCACACGGAAGGAGCATATATCGAAATGTATATAATTTTTAAATCACAATGAACTCGTTCTATTTGTGGAAAACATAAAATTTAGATTAAAACAAAGAAGATACAAGTCTAGAAATAGATAAAAAATCACTTGAGCTTTAAATCGGTCCCCACTCAAAATCTACAAATTTAGTTATCTATCTATCATCATTGGTTATTTGGTTATACACCTACCCTATACCAATATCTGTATGGTAAGTTAACATTTTCTTTTGGTGAAAATGGTGCAAAAGCACCTCTACTTCTTGCTCATTAAGGAAACGAACAGTGAAATCACCAACAACATCATACAAAAGTCAATGTATATTTACATGATTCCAAAAGACGAAACTTGTCCAAATGATAAAATCTGGAAAAAGGGAAACTAGACATATCACATATATATGTTCCATATTACTTGAAACTCGGCCATATTCTCAAGTTCACAATTTTTTTTCTTCACCTAAGTTCATGGCCTTAAACCTAACTTGCTGAATTTGTAGCCAACTAATTGATTGAAATGAAACATAAACAAATGGACCAGTGGTCAGTGGGAGTCCCTGTCAACAGAAGTGACTTTGTGCAACATAACTACAAGAAGAAAGACGTGAGCAGAAATTTATTCTGAAGATTAAGAAATTAGTAGAAAGAGTTCACCAAAAAAAAGAAATTAGTAGAAAGAGTGATTAGAAAAAGGCCAAAAACGAAAGTGAAATGAACAAATAACAATAAAAAAAAAAAAAAATGGAGCAAAATGCTCTGTCCTCTCTTCTCGAAAAACCCTATCGTTTTCTACTGCGCCTCTCATCTCTTATCCTCGCTGGAATCTCTAGGGCAGAGATCAGGAGGAACACGGCTCCTAATCGGCGGCCGATTCAAGGAAAAGAAGAAAGCAAAGCAGAGATTATCGGAAGATGGGGAAGGGAAGAAGGAGTTTGTGTAGAGGTCGAAGACCCAGAAGGAGATCTATTCGCTCGAGATTGGGAGTTCTCGGAAAAAAATGGAAAATTATGGCAGTATACCCAAATCAGACGTTGGGATGAAATCGAAAAAAAGAAAAAGGGGATAATCGCAAATCAAGAATCGGTTGTGGATACGGTGATGAGATTGGCTCCGAAATGGGTATATATTACCACCAATCGGAGTCTCGACCCTGCAACTGAGAACCTGCAAAATATCGAGAAAAGGAAGCTAATACCAGAGGAGCTGGGCATACCGAGTAAACGAGGTAATTACACCATGATCCAGATGGTTATTCTAAGGCTTTATTGCCTTTGGCTTGCTCCACACATTGGTACTCTGGTTTTCATCTCCCTGTTCCGCGTTTTTACTCTTCATTTTCAGGGGGTGGAGCGAATCGGAATCATGTCGGGAGAGCCAATGGATGTGGATCAGATTGTCGAGTTTGAATTGGATGATGTGGAAGACAGCATGAGGAGGGCTAAGCTTAGCCTAATTGGGCGACTGTTTATGGAAAATCCACCGAGCTTGAAGACCATCCAGAAGATTGTCCAGGGTGAATGGGGCTGTTCTGGTAACGTGACGGTCATTGAAGCGGAATTGGGTCTTCTCCAGTTCTTGTTTGATGATGAGAGGGACAGAGACTGGGTTTTGCAGCGCACTCCATGGCAGGTGAAGGAACGGATCCTCCAGCTTCAAGCATGGGAACCAGTCACCCCTGAAGTGGTAGAGTCGCTGTCAATGGCTCCTTTCTGGGTTCAAATGTGGGGAATTCCCTCACATTGTCGAACCATTGCGTTTGGAAGACGAATGGCAGAGGCGAAGCTGGGGAAAGTACTGGATGCAGGGCTGTTCGGCATCAGGGGAGTCCCGGGGCATTTTGTGAAGACGAGGGTGCAGCTGAATGTGTTGGAACCACTCCGGTCCCAACTGTTTGCGAGTAACCCGAGTGTAGGAAAGTTCTGGTTCACGCTGGTCTATGAACACCTCCCGCTGTACTGCTATCACTGTGGGCGATTCGGCCATACGGGTCAGAATTGTGCTTTTCCACCTCCTACAGGGGAGGAATATTTTGGACCGGGACTTACGACGAAGGAATCAGGGCATCGCCTGAATGAACGATTGGTCCCGATTCATGGGGCCCCGCTGCAGAAGACGGTGTGGGTGAATCCCATCACCCAGGGGAAGAAACGAAACGGGGAAGAGGCCCAGCTGGACATGGCGACGCAAGAGAAGGGGGAAGGCTTGAGGAAGGTCGTTTTGGCCCTGCCAGCTGAGGGCAGCAAGGGGACCAAGGAGAAGAAGGCGAAGGGGGACAAGCTGGAGGCTGCCAAGGGTTCGGATTCAAAGAGGGAAGGGAAGAAAGGAGGGGCCAATGGAAACAAAAACCTGGATGTGGGCGGCTTCCGGGATAAGAGCAGCGAGGGTAATTTCACCTCTGCTTATCCGCGGCGGGTGGAAAAACAGGGGGAGTCTAGTGGGGCTGAGAAAGTGAAGGGAGGGAAGCAGGGGATGGGAGGGGGACTGCTGGGTGGAAAGAATGGGAATAATGGCGCTGGTGGCTCTGCTATTCCAAAGAAAGACGTGGGCACTGGAAAGGAGAAGAAAGAGGTGGGATTAAATGTAGCTGGGAGGGATGGAGGCGGCCTGCGAGGTGCGAAGGGGGAGGGGAAGAAGAATGAGATTGGGGGATCAAAAGACTCAGTTAAAATAAAAATCCCTCTTAGGAAACCGAGTGGAGTTGTGCTGGGGAAGGATGGGGAGCCGAAAAAAGCTGAAAAGGAGGATGTCTCGGGGGGGAAGGAACAGGCAACAGGGAAAAACAAGGGGAAGAATGTGATGGAGGGTGGTGAAAAGGCGAAGGAGCAGATTGAAGGGATGGGGGTGCAGCAGCCGATTGAGGGTGAGAAAGAATTGACTCCGAACCAGCTGGGAGTGAGTAATGAAGGAACAGATGGGGGTTCTGGTAGCGTGAAACAAGTGGCATTTAGGATGATGGCGCCGGACCCGGAGGAAGCGGAAGAAAGAAAGAGGGCGGCAGCATTGGTTCCGGATCTCGCAGAGGACCCGACACCGGTGAAGAAGCTGTGCTTGGAGGATGCAAGCGGGGAGGAGCAGGAAGAGAAGAATGTCTCGGTGGAGGAAGCCAGCCGTAAGTGGCCCCAGGAGGATAAATGAAGCTGTTAGCCTGGAATGTGCGTGGAATTGGGCCGTCCATCACATTCCAGTCAATTTTAGGAGTCTTGCGTGTCAATAATCCTGATGTTGTTTTCTTTTCGGAAACGCGGTCGCGTCGTAGGGTGGTGTCTCGTAGATTGCGTGGTCTTGGGTTTTCTGTTTTTCATTTAGTGGATGCTGTTGATTCTTCAGGAGGGTTAGCAGTAGCGTGGTCCCCTGAGAGCGGTGCCTCAGTGTTGTCGAGTTCTTCTTTTTTTATTTCGGTCGGTTTGGAAGTTAATGGAATAAAAGTAGTGATTGTGTTTGTTTACATTAGTTGTCGTGAAAATGAGCGTGGTTTCCAGTTTGATGTGTTACGCAGCTATTGTGCGGGATTGCAAGAACCATACTTGATGGTAGGGGATTTTAACGGCATTCTCGCTTCGGACGAGAAAATAGGGGGGGTCCCTTGGGTCCCGACGCACTCGCATCAGTTCCGTTCGTTTGTGGACG